ACAAAGGAATAGAAACAGTTCCAAGGAATCTTAGATATAGACCCAAATTTTCACTATGTGGTTGACAGAAAATATACTGCATAACGAGCTGAAGCGTGTGCGATGTGATTATAAGTAGACAATTAGATAACGGCGGCCAACAAATTTAGCAAGAAGTGTGTATGTGATCCTCTATATACAAAATATCATGCGCATAACAAACTGGAATAATAGAAGCCAACTTGGGCAAAATGCTATAGGGAGAGTCTTTTGTTTAGATAAAGCGGAATTACAAAAAAAAACACAACAAATAACAGCAAAAACTGTCTACAAATTAAACTTATTTTAACCATACCTATAGGTTTATGGTATCAAGAAGTCGTTAATTTCCATCAATAAGTATTCTTTCCTTAAAGTCAAACTCATATAATAAAAGTAGACAGCAAAGTTCGATCTTATGAAGTGTTTTCATGCAGTAAATCCTTTCAGAGTTAGACCTTCAAAAGCCGCTGAGTATGTTTTGTAGGCAGATGTGGTTTCTCCCTCTATTTCAGAGTAAGCAGTTTAACTTTTGTCTCATCATCACTTTTCGCATGAAATTCATTCTGATAGTTTACTTACGATTTATTTCTTCATAATCCTGTATTTTGATCCATCTTATAGTTTCAAAAAGATGGATAAATTCGATCGTGTGTACACTTTTTCAAGGACAAGCTAAAGAAATCCTGAATGGTTGAATTTCGCTCAGATTCTTACCGAAATCTTTCAAAAGATTTTTATGCCTCCTAGAAACCGATTTATCGGGTTAATCAAATTCAAACAGATCCCATGACAATTCTGCTCTTTTGCATAATCTTTCGGAAAATATGAAATATACGTGTAGTTTCGTGTTGTAAGTAATCAGCCACCTAGCTCAAAGTAGAAACATCTTTTTATGGCGAAGATGTCTACCTTGCGTTATATTATCAATTAAATATTGAATATCTAGGTTCTCAAAAGATCCTAGATTTGTTATTTTATTCTTATAAACGTTTAACTCTGACAAATGTGTTTTATGCTCATATTCACACAGGTACATCTGCAGGTTTTCGTGAACTGTTGGTTTCAAATAAGTACCATTCTAAGCTAAGAAGAACTTTAAAGAAGATTACATACAATGCAGTCTCCACATTCCTGTCATACTTTTCTCACACTGATCTCTACTCGTAGTTCCAAATAAACTTGGTCAATCTACTTTATATAATTTCTCAGGACAATTAAAATATTGTTCTAACGTGCAGTTAAGCTATGAACGTTTGTGTAGTTAATACTAGCCTCAAATACACATGCTTTTAATTGAAATAGGTGTAGATCGGTTTGTTTTAGTTGTTTATTTCAATCATAAGCCTGATAATTGCCAAGACACTACTCGAAGATTAAATGTTACTGATGTAGCTGCTCTTTGTTTCCAAAGTGTTAAGTGATTTGTACGATTAGTCATACAATTATGACTAGTCCACGCATTTCGAGAGTAGGTCGGAGAGGTCAGGAAACTCTACACTACAAAACATTCAGTGTGTTCCAGTCTTAAGATGTAAATATTTTCGTCTTCATTTTAGAATGTGCAGTCTGGTAACTGAAGTCAGTCCATACTTGTTTTTCGCTATACATTTATTTTGAGTGTTATTCCTGTGAAACTATTGTCAACGTGGTTTTAGTCTACTAGACAATCGTTGACCGCGTGCTATCTCAAAAGGACAGTGGTATTGTTTCTCGTTGAATTAGTTAACTGTTTTGATAGTAAATTACGTATCAAAACTACGATTTACACCTTAATTGAATCTACTACAGTTAAAGTGATATTCTATTGAGTTTTTTGGCTTTTGTGTATTTATTACATTCGAAAACATTCGTGGTCTGTATCAAAGTACTTTAGTTAAGGCTTAAAATCCTTCTAAAGTTTGTCTTGTGGTAACCTTTTATTCGTTGACTGACATTTGTTTTCATACCGTGATCATATTATGTGTTACACCTTGATCTGACTAAAATGGTTGGTAGTACTCACAAATGTGGACAACCAAACTGTGTTCCCTGTGGAGGAAGGAATGCAGTGTGACGAATGCAATAAGTGGTTCCACAAAATGTGCACCCGTTTAAGTCCCATCGCATACAAAAGATTTTCGAAGCCTAACTCACATTGGCTTTGCATGTTCTGCTGTGCCAACAAGGCATTACTAATACAGGAGGCTATGAGCCTATTGGCTTTGGTCTGTAAGAAGAACGATAGCATATGCGCTGACAACACGGGCACTGACAGTGACAAATGTGTCAGTGTAGTACCTGCTGTTACGCGACGCCTCAAACAACCGACTCTGACCAACGTAAAAGTGAAATCTCCGTTGACATTAACAGGAGGAGTAGTGCCAACTGGTACTGACATTGTTAATAATGCACCTTTAGTGGGAACCGAAAATCTGGATAAAACAGTCACCGTTCCAAATAGTCCCAGTGTTATGAGGGATGAAAAATGGATTACGGTACGTAGGAAACGAAACGAAAAGAAAAAAGCTGTGAGCAGTACACAGGTAGTTAGTAACTCACTGGTGGACTCAAATTGTGAGCCACAAATTGCACTACCAAGATCTGATGGTAAGAGTGAAACCCATCCCGGCGTGACTGAGAAGAAAAATCTAATAACATCGAATATTATTGTGAGCAAAATGCGGGAGTCAAACGACCCTGATCCGAAAATTAGACATGCGCATGACTTAGAAAAGCTAGGAGAATACATTCGTAGTACTTTACCATATAACTCCAAAGGAGTTCAGGTCAAAAACTTGGTTAGAATAGGCAAGAGGACCGAGGACAATGTTTAGCCACGTCCATGCAGACTCCTTAAGGTAATCCTAGGATCGGAGAAGCAACGGGATCTCTTGTTAAGTAGCACTCGTTGTCACGACAATTCTGACATCCGAGTTATACCTGACATGTCTCTCGAAGATAGAATAAAAAGAAAGAAGGCACTAGCTGAACTTGAAACCCGTCGGCAAAACGGCGAGGAAAATCTCCGGCTAGTGGGTTTTCGGATAGTCAGGTCTTGGAAGCGAATGCTACCAAGGCCTGTGTGGATAGGCTGTTCTACTTAGGAGTTTTATATGCCAACGCTCGTAGTCTACGAAATAAGTTCTATGAATTAGAAGCACTAGTGGACAGGTTAAAGCCACTCATAGTAGTAGTGACAGAAACTTGGTTAGTCCATGACAGACATTACTCCAGAATTATCCGGATACCATTACATCAGGAGTGATAGACATAGATGTAGAAAAGGAGGCGGCGTCCTGTTATATATAGCCAATAGCATAAATATCCGCTCCTTTACTAGCGAATCCCATGATAGCGGTACTTGTGAAGTCATTAGCTGTAAGTTGGCTATAGGATGTAGTACATTTATGCTCGGTGTCATCTATCGCAGCCCAATCTGCTTAGCTGATGACTTTATTTTAGAGCACATTCATCTTTGGAGTAAAAATACCAGATGCTTGATAATAGGAGACTTTAATGCACCTGATATTAGTTGGACTGAGATGACCACAGAAGGATCTATAAACTCCTTTGATAGTAGGTTCCTGATAACAATAATGCAGCATGCACTAGTGCAGCATGTATCCCAACCCACACGTTTTGGTGTTAACCAGGGTTCTTCTCTGCTGGACTTGGTAATCACTCATGAGACGGAGGATATTGTCGACTTAAATATTCTTCCACTTTTAGTAAACAGCGATCACGCTGTTTTGTCATTCGCGTTTAGAACTAGGGACATGTTATACGATCAGGTTACACCGCGCCCAAATGTATGGAAAGCTAACATATCAGCCATTCAGGAATGCGCTGTTAAGACAAATTGGTTAGTAGATACTAGCATATCAGTTGAAGAAGCATGGTCTGTATTTAAAGGTAAATTTAGACTAGTTACGTCCCCGTTCATACCATACCTGGTACCGCGAAGACCGAATAACAGTCCACCATGGATAACTAAAACGGTCAGGAAACTCCTTAGAAAAAGGAAGAATCACTGGAATATGTTCATCTCTGGCTTAGAACAATACAGATCCAGTTATTGTAAGCCCCCAAATGCCCTGGTACGGCCGAGAGTGGGGAGAGTCCGCTCTCCCTCTCGAAATGCTCTCATATGGCCATGCGTATATAGCCTCTGCCAGGGAAGTCCTACTCATTGCCTTCTCGTGGCGGGGGTGTTGTTTACGAAAATGAGAGGACGAAAAGCGAATGTCCGGCGCTTTAACCGGATTCCAAATGGTGCACATGGGCTCCAGTACCCTGCGGGAACAAATGGCGTATGAACCAATTGTTGGTCACCGGCTTCCATGGGACTGCATCTCCTGACGATGCTCCACTGCCTTGTGGATCAGACCTTCAGGTCGAAGGCTCGGGGTGTGGCCCCCTAAGAAAACCACCTGCTTCGGTTTGGGCACCCGGGCAGTATCACAGCCCTCACACATATCGAATGAGATTTGTGTGGCGCATGTGTATTTGGTGCCTCCTTGTACCAATGTCTATGTGTTAAAATAAAATAAAATAAAATAATTGTAAGATTAGGAATGCCTGTAAAGCGGTAATAAGCAAGACTAGACTATCATACGAAAAACAATTGGTTAGGGATTCTAGATATAGTCCGAAACGGTTATCCTCGTATATAAAAAGGTGAAGTAAGAGAAGCGATGGAATTCCATCACTTTTGATACGAGATAATCCGTTAATCTTAGCAGAGAATGATGCCGAAAAAGCTGAAGCTTTATCGGAATATTTTAGTAAAGTGTTTTCTATCGGTAATGAGGAACGACCAACGATTCATCGCGACCGTGACGGCTCGCTGATGGATCCTGTAGTCATTGAGAAGGGTACTGTTTTAAGGCTACTTCAGCATCTCAAACCTGATAAGTCCAGTGGTCCTGATGATATTCATCCTAGGATTATGAAAAGCCATATCAGATGAAATTGCTGAACCATCAGCGATACTATTCGACATGTCTCTGAAACAGTCCAGATTTCCTAGAGACTGGAAAGACGCCATAATAAGTCCGGTGTATAAGGCTGGGAGTAGGGATTTAATTAGTAACTATAGACCCGTTAGCTTAACTAGTGCATTTATAAAACTGATGGAGAAAATCATTCGGATAGCTGTTATAAAGTATTTTGAAGGGCAAATTCTTTTCTCCAGGGCACAACATGGTTTTCGGAAAGGCCTATCTTGCTTGACAAATCTTCTCATTTCACGAGAAGATTGGGCTGCGGCAAAGGATCGAAATGCTCCTGTGGATGTGGTTTTCATAAATCTAAGTAAAGCCGTTGATAAGGTTTCCCACTCTGGTCTTAAATTCAAACTGGAACGTTTTGGAATCCATTATACAGTCGTCGATTTTATAAGTAACTTTCTCCATGACAGGAGACAAAGGGTGAAAGTTAATGGGGCTCTCTCCTCGTGGGTACCTGTAAAAAGTGGGGTTCCCCAAGGTACAATCTTAGGTCCTCTTCTCTTTTTACTTTATGTAAATGAATTGTCAACTGTAGCAAAATCATCCGTTCTACTCTTCGCTGATGACATAAAGATTTGGAGACCCATACATAGTATGTCGGATAGAATAGTATTACAGGACGATCTTAGCTCATTGGTGGCATGGTTAGACAGGTGGTCACTAGAAGTAAATCCTAATAAGAGTGTAGTGATGCAGTTAAATAACTCTGATGAATCGTATGACTATACATTACGTGGATTCGTGCTACCCAAAGCAAGAAACTATAAAGATTTAGGAGTCATATTAAGCAATGATCTCAAAACGACTAGTCACTGTAAGGCTGCTGCTGCAAAAGGCTATAGGGTATTATGATCAATCCGTAGGTCTTTTCAGTATTTAGATGATGAAATGTTTAGATTACTATACCCGATTTATGTGCGACCACATTTAGAATACGAGATTCAAGCAGCGTGTCCGTGTTTCAAGTATGAATCAGATATGCTAGAAGGAGTCCAACGACGAGCTACTAAGATGGTACAAGGTCTATCTGGCCTATCTTATGAAGACAGACTGAGACACCTTAACTTATTCCCGTTATCTTACCGTAGAATACGGGGTGATCTAATATTGGCCTATCGTATACTGAACGATGACCTTGGTATTAACATGTCTTATCTTTTGCTTCTGTCTAGAACCGATCATTTGAGAGGACATTCGAAGAAAGCTCAAAAACCGAAATCAAATCGTTTACGTCTGGGGTTCCGTTTCTCTCACCGAGTAGTGAATCACTGGAATTCTCTACTGGAACACATAATATCAGCACCGTCTGTTAATATATTCAAAACGAGGTGGGACCTCCACAGTATTACAAACTGCAAGGGTTAATATAGGTCAATAGACCTTCTATCCTTATTACTGAAGACTGTTAAGTATGTAGTAAGGCTTATATTCAGTCAGGATTCGTTAAAAAATGTCACTATGCTACCGTCTTTGTATCTCCTGTTCATTGAGTTGGTTTGACAAGATCTTGAGAATATATATCGGACTAAATGTGGTAAAATTACGTAGCTCTGACATCAATAAAAAATGCCCAAGTCGATCAAGTTCGTTAATTCTACTTTAAACCATGGTTTTTACACAAGCGCTAGTAAAAATACTTGACTCTCCAAGCTGAATTAAGGAACTTTTCATACCTGAAACACGATAGTCGGAAGTTAAGTAGTTAAATCACTAAGCTTCTGCTGTACTAGCCAATCTAAATAGAATCATTTACATTTGTAAAGTAATGAAATCGACCAAAATAAATAACTGTTTCACACCTTATTTTTTGTTCACTCAATCATACGTTACTGTTCAGGTCTCTTCTACCTCTTAAAGGCTTCACGGTGTTATTCTATAGGGGGTCTTTGTTTCCACTTATGGTATACTAAAGTTTTGAGTTTAACATTGCATGTGTAAAGATTGGCTTAAATATTTATCAATATGCTGCTTTAACGTTCTTATTCATCAATTTATTGTTTGATCTTAGGGATTGAGACTTTTGTCCTCCACCTTAGCTTCTAGAATAATTTCTCTCGTGTGCTTTTCTTAAAAATGTCCGCTTCGATTGCGACAGATTTATAAGGTGCTTGGTTCAATAAACGAGGCAGAAAAAAATTCTTTTTACGGTCACAATACCATAGGATTTCATGGTTAATATTATGACTGATTATCAGAAACAATTTACTTGTCAACTATGAAAACAAGTTACAAGAGCATTACAGCCATATTTGGAATCGAAATCAGACCTAATTATCACTGTCCTACTTATTAAAATTAAGTGAAAGTATTAGCGTTTGATTTTCAAATCCCATTTGCTCAGCAGCTATAAGGTACACTTTTGCTTGTTTCATTAAGTTATCCACGCAACGATGTATAATAAAATGTCAGTATAGTTTTATGGGAAACATTGCTCAATGTACCTGTTCTTCGAAATTTGCATTCTTGGGACTTTTCCCGAGACATTTTAACTTTTTAGGAGGAAAGACTTCCTTACACTGTCCTCTTTTATTTCAGCTGCTTCTAATTCTTATGTGTCCGCCAAATAGCTATGATTCGTCTACTTTTTGGGATAACGTTTGCCGTATCATGTTGGATCCTTCAAACCTACTCGGTGACATATGAAGCCAATTTGAATGAACCATATAGTGGTGAAATTTCACAGGATCAGAAAATTGAATACCAGTTTACTCTTGCAAATCGTAGTGTATGATATGCATTTTTTTACAATTATTTCCCCTTTTGAATTTAATATAATTTTAATAGGAATTTGTTATTCGAGTACATGTAGTAAATTACAACCCGAAACTAGATTATCCTATGTTAGTGGTGATCAAGCAAGTGGACAATGTAATGTCATTCCAAGCACCAATGGTTCTTAATTCTATGTAAGTTTTTTCCTTTCTTTCACTTATTCCTTTTGTTTAATGCACACAAATAGATCAGTACACGGTAACGTTAGTCGCACACTGTGTCCAATCAAATTACTGCCTGGAGCAGTTCGAAAACTCACAGTAGAGTTGTCTAATGCTGTTAAACCACCTGGAAAAGTGCGTTACATGTTTCTGGCTCAGTTAGTTCCTGATTTCGATTTGGAGTATGTCAAATTACTCATATAACAGATCTATATCTAATTTTAGGCCGGGCGTTGAAAGAAGTATAGTAGTCTCACCTGCTGAACCTATCTATTTACGATACCTTTATCCTCCAGAAAAAAATTCAGCAGAAATTAAGGTTGTTTCAAAAAGTGATATATGTATGGTTTTGTCTATCCAAAAACTGCAGGTAGGTTTTCCTTTTAACCAGAGATAATTTTATTTTACAAATAATTTCAGTGTCCTGTCAATGATTTATCCGATACAGTGGGAAACACTGGGTTACATCAAACAGTCACTACTTTGGGTGCAATATCCATTGATGTAAGTAATGTGTTTTAATTCCTTAAAACTTTAAATAAATTAATCTAGGTGACTCAATTCCTCAAAGGATTTTTCCTCGTTCTAGTCTTGAAACCAACAGACTATGCTTGTTCCGGCATCGAAGATCTAATTCCACCATTACCAGGTAATGTGCACCATGAATTTTATCTTCTGATTACAAAAATACTTCAAAAAGGCAGCAATATATATATACAATTGATTGGTTCGTAACATACTGTGCCAAACTACTCGAAACTCCAAAAAATATTTTTTATTTGGAAATTTGTGTGTTTGATAGAGTATAAACTGTACCTTCGTAGTTGACACCATTGGTTTGGAATCATGGTTTTCCAACTCCCCTAGGTGGACTCTCCATGCCCACTAGCCCGGTTAAAGCGCCGGACATTCGCTTTTCGTCCTCTCAATTTCGTGAACAACACACCCGCCACGAGAGGGCGGTGAGTAGGACTTCTCTGACAAAGGCTATATATACGTGGCCATATGAGAGCATTTCGAGGAGAGCTGACTGTCCCTACTCTCGGCCGTACCAGAGCATTTGGGGGCGTTGAGGTTAGTAGTAATTATTGAAGACAACAAGCAACTAGGACGAAACCTGTTGTAATGGTGTTGTTACATTTACTAAGTTTCTTTTTTCTGGATCTGAAATGTCTGGTTATTAATATCATAGGCCGAGTTTCTTGACTTCATACTATTTTGGACCGGTAAGGTGTTGTTAGATTTATTTATTTTGTTACCAAAGTGAAAGCTCTTTGGGTTTGTGCATGTGAACATATGTGAGAAATTATTAGACAATGAACACCACCGTTTTTCTGTATCCTCAACTTATTGTTATGGTATTTGAATTTCAACCACTAGGTCTTAGATTCTTGACTTGTTGCATTTCAGTTAGTAAGTTATATTTCGAGTTTTACATTAAACTTCCTAAAAATTGCCAAATGAGGGATATATCGAGTCACATGATAGAATCAGTTCCAAATAAATCAAAAAATTTTCTTTATGGTGTTCTACTATTTATTGTCTGTACTATGAGTTTGAAGGCTCATTATCAGTTTTATATGATTCAATACTGAAGCGACTGACATATGTGACGTATATACATGTACTATCTGTTAGTGCAAATCGATAAAATGACAAGTAGAAATCTGTAAATTATCTGTAATACATGAAATGTCAGCTTAAACTAAAGTCAGTCAGTCAGCTACAACGTAGGACCAGGCACATATGTGCATCGGTCCAGGTTGCCATACCGCATCAGCACAACAAGATGAACACCGGATTCATAGCAGTGATTAGGTCAAAGGTGGTAATATATAAGAGAAAGATTGCATATAGAGATATAGTACAAGAAGAAAGAATTGGTTCGTAGAAAGAAAGATATGAAGTGATTTTAATCTCTTAGGTTAAGGGAAGACAGAGAGTGTATACACCGACGCCATTGTGATCGATTCTGAGCCATGTCACCAAGAGTCTCCAACCATTGGTTACGAAAGTCACGCGGACCCCAACCAAGTAGTTTGCACCTACCAACATGACTCAGACTAGAAGTTAGTGACTTCAAGCACTGATGCCACGTTTTGGTTTGGCCGCCCCTAACTTTCTTCCAACCATCTCCAATACCGAATAGCATTGCACGTCGTGGTAGTCGGTGTTCAGGCATACGTAACATGTAGCCCAACCATCTCAGTTGATGAAGATTCATAACCTCATCAACTGATTTACCATCATCCCCTAATACCCTGCGTCTAACCTCACTATTACTTACCCGGTGATCCCAGCAGACGCCAGCAATATTTCTAAGGCATCTGTGGTCAAATACTAGTAGCTTACGAGTGTCTTCTACTCTTAATGGCCATGTTTCGCTGCTGTGAATCAAAACAGAACGGACTGCCGCACAGTATACTCGTCCTTTTATTGATAGACGGATATCTCGCCTTCGCCAAAGGTGACGCAAGTTGGCAAAAGCCAAGCGAGCTTTTCGAATCCGTGCTGAGATTTCGTCAGACACCAACCCATTAGGGCTGATCAGACTTCCAAGATAAGTGAAGTTGTCGACGCGTTCGACTACTTCACTCCCTATCCTTAGTTCAGGTGTTGACGCAGACCAGTCGTGAAGCAACAACTTGCATTTAGAGGGAGAGAAGTGCATTCCAAACATTCTGGCATTGTTGCTTAGTGCTACGAGAAGACTGCATTTTGTCAGCGTCTTCACTAAACAGGACTATGTCATCAGCGTATTCTAAGTCGATAAGTGGATTGTTATTGTAAATAATCATTCACTGCAGTATACAAACTAAACATCACTAAACCTGATGAACTAGCTGTATTCATTTTTTATGCTACATCCCATAGCTAAAAAGTGATACAAGATTTTAACTAGAATAAAATATTGACTAGAACAATGAAAAACGCACGAAGGATCTTCGTGTCTTTTCTTACAAACAAATCTCCATTTCTTATGGAGTAAAACATTTAATGGTTCTCATTTTCTAACTTTGGTCAAAGAGTGTACTGTACTATTCGGGCGTGGTCCCCTAAGAAAACCACCTGCTTTGGTTTTGGCACTCGGGCAGTATCCCAGCCCTCGCACAAATCGAATGATTTATGTGGCGCATATCTATTTGGTGCCTCCTTGTACCGATGTTTATATGTTTAAATAAATAAATAAATAAACTGTTCTTTTACAATAAAAGGAATATTTGAAGCAATCAAGTTTTTTCTATTACCGGTTCCAACTGAATAAATTCCGAGGCACCAGTTCTGTTGAATTTTTTGGTAAAATTACCACTCATGCTTTTATTTGTATACAACACCATTCACACTAAAAGCTTCTATCCTTTTGATCTAACCATCCAACGAAAAGCGTATATATTTATGTATGTTAGATAGCTGAAAGCGATAAGCAGAGAGTTCTGGATTTTGGGGCTGTTCGTCACACGTTAGCAAGGTGTACCTATACTCTTGTAGGAACTGGTGTTCCCTGAATCACCAAAAGTTAATCAACTGTCTGAATAGCTCAATGATAACGTCTCCAACTGTTACTATCGGAGACCTAAGTTTGATATTCACATGAAGTGTCAGTTCCTAAAAAATGTTGTTCGGTACTATTGATATATATGTACGAAAAACGTTTAGGTGATTTATCTTCTTGTCCTTACACTGTGGTCTGTTAAATCGTCTGGTTATTCATATGGAAATAAGTTCTAAACTAAGTTGTAGTTTTTCCACGTAAATTGCATCCAGTTCATATCGGAAAACTAGTCAATGTTTAAAAGTTTTTCTTTTCGTATTTTGAAAACGTTAAGTTATTACAATCTGATATACTATTTTATTTCCTGTAAAGTATCATTCAGTCATAATTATATATGAATATGTTTATAAAAATGGTTCAGTAGTCTAAGCATTACAGCAATTGTAACCAATCACAGAGTAGTGAACTAATTTATTATATCATGCAAAATTACTCACTGCATTTGTAAAATATGAAAACAATACACTGAAATACTATTTGCCCATCTTTCTTGAATTGTCTTTTAGAAATTCCATTGTTCTTTCATTCCTGATGCTACTCCGACTGCTTTTGTTTTTCTGTCTCTTCTTACTTCCCTGTTCTGTCAGTAAGAATGCTACTTCCAATCCCTGATACTTACTACTTATATCTGTTCGTATAAGTAGCACACACCACAATAGTATCATTGGTTGAAATCGATTGCGGTTATTAGGAGTTCATTAACATCTGTAAACATAACCGAATGGATATAGTTCACAATCTCATATATATTATTTTTATGCATTTAATCAATGACGTTTCTACTTTTCACTTTCACTGTTGATTTTGAATCAGTAAACCTTATTTCGACTTATCGAACTGTTTATTGGCTGTTAAGAGTTTTCAGTGTTTATATATTGTTCGATAAGAGGAAGGGTTCTTGTTAATTGGGAATTATATCTTATAAAACAACAATCCAATACATTGTTATTGTATCAAGTTCTTTGTAGTCTTAAATATTCCATCATTCTTTTTCTCCCTCTTTTTCCTAGATCAGGGCTTATTTTCACATGAACCACAGATAAATCTCTCAGGATCTCGAAGTAAATCTGTTAAAATACTAATTAATTCAACACATAGGAGTAAGTTTGGCTATTCTGGTCGCTTTCATTTTGCCTTAATGATTATTTTGCCCGGTAGATTAGTACTAATATTGAAAACTTGTAACGGGAATAAAACTCATTCTAAGTCAGTCAGTCAGCTACAACGTAGGACCAGGCACATATGTGCATCGGTCCAGGTTGCCATACCGCATCAGCACAACAAGATGAACACCGGATTCATAGCAGTGATTAGGTCAAAGGTGGTAATATATAAGAGAAAGATTGCATATAGAGATATAGTACAAGAAGAAAGAATTGGTTCGTAGAAAGAAAGATATGAAGTGATTTTAATCTCTTAGGTTAAGGGAAGACAGAGAGTGTATACACCGACGCCATTGTGATCGATTCTGAGCCATGTCACCAAGAGTCTCCAACCATTGGTTACGAAAGTCACGCGGACCCCAACCAAGTAGTTTGCACCTACCAACATGACTCAGACTAAAAGTTAGTGACTTCAAGCACTGATGCCACGTTTTGGTTTGGCCGCCCCTAACTTTCTTCCAACCATCTCCAATACCGAATAGCATTGCACGTCGTGGTAGTCGGTGTTCAGGCATACGTAACATGTAGCCCAACCATCTCAGTTGATGAAGATTCATAACCTCATCAACTGATTTACCATCATCCCCTAATACCCTGCGTCTAACCTCACTATTACTTACCCGGTGATCCCAGCAGATGCCAGCAATATTTCTAAGGCATCTGTGGTCAAATACTAGTAGCTTACGAGTGTCTTCTACTCTTAATGGCCATGTTTCGCTGCTGTGAATCAAAACAGAACGGACTGCCGCACAGTATACTCGTCCTTTTATTGATAGACGGATATCTCGCCTTCGCCAAAGGTGACGCAAGTTGGCAAAAGCCAAGCGAGCTTTTCGAATCCGTGCTGAGATTTCGTCAGACACCAACCCATTAGGGCTGATCAGACTTCCAAGATAAGTGAAGTTGTCGACGCGTTCGACTACTTCACTCCCTATCCTTAGTTCAGGTGTTGACGCAGACCAGTCGTGAAGCAACAACTTGCATTTAGAGGGAGAGAAGTGCATTCCAAACATTCTGGCATTGTTGCTTAGTGCTACGAGAAGACTGCATTTTGTCAGCGTCTTCACTAAACAGGACTATGTCATCAGCGTATTCTAAGTCGATAAGTGGACCTCCTGGAAGGAAATCAATACCCGAGAATTCAGTCGACGAGAGTGTTATTTCCATCAATATGTCTATGATGAAGTTAAACAAAAATGGAGAAAGTGGACAACCTTGACGGATACCAATTGAGGTTGCAAAAGTAGATGACAGTTCGCCATAAGCTCTGACTCGACTAGTAGTGTTCGAGTAAAGAGCCTTCACAAGGTTTATGTACTTCTGAGGTACGCCTTTCAATGACAGACACAGCCACAGAATCTCCTGGTCTGCCGAGTCAAATGCTGCTTTTACGTTATTTTACTCATTCTAAGTAAAATAACTTGGTATAATTATTGATGGAATGAGTTCATCTATAATATTTTACAGTAAATCTTTGATGTGCTTTACCAGTTAGTATTTCGTCTTTTATTTGAGCATTGTTAATTAATCAAAACGTAGGACCTAGCATAAATATACAATGGGGCTAGTTGTTGCTCTCTCCATCTTTGAGATAAAAATCTAAAGGAGTCGATAGGATTTCACTGATAGTGTGAAACGAATCGTAGGAAATATTTTTCAATAATAACGAATAGAGTGGGGGTAATAAAGTGTATGAATATTAGGATATATAATCAAGAATGAATCCTTTTTTAACCAACTTTATACCACTTCACTAACTGGAGATTATGGTATTCTTACAATCCCAAACCAGGAAACCCACACTTCCCAGTACTGTTCAAACTAATCTTAGATGGCTTTATAGAAAGGTATCATACTAGACTGGTTGCCCTTAATGTTTTTGAACCTGTTCATATGCTTGCGCTCAATCAAAGTAATCTAGTGAGATCTTTGCACTGAATGGAAGTCAATATAACGACTAGAGTGTGTAGTTTTTTCGGCAGATAGATTTCGTTTAACTAAGCAATCTAAAAATCACAGTTCATCATGCTCATTTCCATTTTCGTTCTTAAATTTAATGTGCGATTAAAGTGTATTGATCCGTTTCGAAAAAGATCTTAGGTGAGTCCTTTTTATGACACCAAAAGTATCATCTACATATCTAAGCTAAATTCGTGGTTTAAAGTCATTGGCAAAATTATTTGATTCCATGTATGCTATAAACAGGTTGGCTACAATCGGGGACATGGGGGATTCCTTTGCTACGCCGTTAGTTTGTTTGTATAACATCTCGTTAAAAGTAAATAGTGTCGAATTTAAGCAGAGTTTTAAGGATTTCATGATTAGATTAATGCTTAAAGGATATCTATCAGAAAGAGTATTGTCGTTCTCAATAAACCAATGATAAATTCTAAGCATTTATCAATAGGAATACTAGTGTATAATGAAATAACATCATAGCTTACCATGACTTCATTTATTTGAAACGATATAATTGTTTGGACGAAAACAAGCGAATGATTTCACAGCATGTAGTATTGTTTTTATTCAGAATTAGGGATGAGTTCTTGGTAAAAGAGGCATAACTACTAAGTTTAAGATCAGATCAATCCGTCATAACTCTGTCATTAGAGCTTCGTATGCACTTAAAAAAATCTTACTAATAGCACTGAATTTCCTCCTATCATGGAACATTTTCAGTTTTAATAATGCAAAGCTTGATTCCTGGTAACACAACATAAGGTCAAATTTCATGCAATTGGTTCCCTTTATGAATTGTTCTTGCTCTATATAAGGTCAAATATTGGTTTTCCAGAGAAAATATGTTGCTACCAATGCATATAAGATGTATGACGTCTTTTTATCATAACCAGCAAGGGTGAAAGTGTTCTCATATTGAAGCAGTTACCACTGCTAACTGATCTCCAATCTACAACTCTATCACAAGATGTTTTGCAGAAATCCCCTTGTCAATGAATCAGTCCCTTTTCTAGTCAATAAGTCTGAAAACAGTATTCTTCTAGCCTTACTGTACAAATTATCCCAACTATTCTTAAACTTATGCCTGTTTTATGATTATTGTAATTTTCATCTTTTTTCTCTACGTAAAACTGACTTGTTTATTTTGAAGGATGGCCGTATTTATTACCCATACTTGGAGCTGTCGGTATTTACTTGCTTTTCTACGTTGTCACAATTATTATCATATTACTGTATCACAGAGCGTAAGTCATAATGATTTCGTCTAACAAACTTTTATTCGTAACATCAAGTTACACCTTGTTACTTTATATATTTCAATCTTTAACTATGACCCATATCTTTACATTTCACTGTATATTTTGTCAAGTTTAGTAATGCAGTATTAAAAATAAACATTTTTTCTCAGGATATATCATTTCCAAGTAATAACAATAACTACTGAATAGACTGAATCACTTATTCCTTTAGTTACAAAACTATTATTCATGAGTGTATTATTCATTATCTTTAGCCGGACATTATTCTTCACATTTCTTAGTTGTACTGTTTCTTAACATGCTTCATAATATGAATCATTTCCCAAATGGTAGAAGCAAAATCGATTCGCCCTTTTCATTTAGTTCTCAGCTGATTCAGTGATAAAAGACAACTGTTAACCAAGATATTTATTACGATCACAAAAAAAGATCGATGTGCTCATTCGTTCATTGTATTTAAATTTATGAACACGATTTCATTAAAATCAATGTGACTGAGGTTCATTAGACTAGGATGAGTTGTTATTGATCAATGAAATGTCATTTTATTAACTAATCATAGGAATTGTACAACCTTTAATCTCAGTCTTTAGTTGTTTTATTTTGATTCATATTACTCGCTTATTGTTCTTATTGAGTCGGTATCTTAAGTGTAGTCGGTTTTCATCTGTATGTATCAAACCATAAAGGTGGGACATAGTAACTGACACAACAGAAAAACAATTAACTCAGATTTTTGTGAAATAAGTCCTTAAAGTTTAAGCCTTTATAACTCTCCTAGGTTCTTTCCATAGGAATACGTAAAATATTGATTGTCTAATCAGTATTATGTTGTATAATCTGATTAAATTATTAATTTTTATATGATATCCTTACATATCTTATTTTCAGTGTATTGACACTATTTGATACTCTTTCACTCGTCTGACGTTGATAATTCATACATTAGGCTGTGTAGCTTCAAAAACTAACTTATGCGTAATTCAATTTAAATAGGTGAAGTGAGTAATATTGTAGTGGAGGAGAACACAGGTGAGGACAACTGAATTGTATTTAGCACACAATTACAGAGTTACTTGGTAAAATAGAAAAACTATATAGTAAATCGTTAATTTGCAAAATATCACATTTCATTGTTCATGCGTTTTCTTACAAATTGCATTGTGTTGTCGCTCTTCCTTTCTTGATCTTTCCCCATCTTCTGCTACTAGACATTGCGTTTTTAACTCGCGTCAAATACTACTTACATCGATATAAGTAGCACACACCACAGTATCACTTAGTCTCTAAATCAGTTAGTGTTTCTCGAAGTAAAATAAAAGAAACACCACTTGATCAGTAAGTTCCGTTAAAATGTATATAAATTAGCTTATGCTATAAATAAATAATATATTTGTAATATCCCAGTGAGTAGAAAATTAGATTTTCTGACGTTTCGTGACTTAGTGTAAGCCACTTCTTCAGAGAATAAATAACCAAATTAAAATTAATCCAAGTTTAAATAGTACAACGGAACAAAATTAGCTTATGCTGTTTTTCTATGAAAGTTAATCTTCTTGTAGGAAGAGTTTAAAATTAAATTCTTTATATATTTTCTAATGTTTCGGTTATTTTAATTTCGATTTTTCTACTCTTAGAGAAAGAAGAAAAAGATTTCTTGATGGTACGTCTAAATACTGTTCATTTTTCAATAGAAGTGCCTCACAAATTATAATGCTTATAATTTTTATTTCATTTTCTACGTGTATAATGTAGTGCATGTTATTTAAATACTAATATAACGAATCATTACTTACTTACTTACGCCTGTTACTCTTAATGTAGCATAGGCCACCGACCAGCATTCTCCAACCCACTCTGTCCTGCACCTTCCTTTCCAGTACTATCCAATTTTTGTTCATTTTTCTCATGTCTGTCTCCATTTCTCTACGTAATGTGTTCTTTGGTCTTCCTCTTTTCCTTTGACCTTCAGGATTCCATGTGAGGGCTTGTCTTGTGACACAGTTGGGTGCTTTCCTCAATGTGTGTCCTATCCACTTCCAGCGCTCCCTCCTTATTTCTTCCTCCGCTGGGATCTGGTTTGTCCTCTCCCATATAACAAATCATTAGTTAATATGAATAGACTTTTGATTAGCGAAACACTTCAAATGATTTACTTGTAGTATAGTGTAGCTAATTACCTTGTATATATGCAGCTTCGATCTACACTGTTTATGTGAATTGTTTTAACTTTTGCCCTTGTCAATTATTATATGACAAAATCATTAATCAGAATACAGATTTATATGATTCATTCGAAATATTTTTCTCATTTTTATAAGAAATTTCATCAAAAATATGTGAATTATTACGACAAATCATATCTGGTAAAATAACATGAAAAATCTGATAAGTTGATTCATTAGAAACTTTTGTCTCTATGATTTTGAGTTTCATTTGTGTTGCTCTATTTATTTTCTGAATATAGATCCCTCCAGGTTTCTCGATAAATATTGCGTGAAACATAAGTTTGTTTTGTTTGGAGTTTAGTTTCAGTGTTATGTAAGGCCAATAAGGCTTCATTTAATTCTTAACTCAGAGCATCATTTACAGAATCTTCTGTTTTTCTGTCCTCCGATACTGCCACAATTTCATATACATTTCACAAAAATTCGCCTTGCTGTGAGCTTGACAATTCACTAATTGTATATTCTGCTTCGGGCGTAAATTGATTTGAACCCATAACAGAACATGTTCCTGAAATATCCATTGCTGGACCACTGGATAATACATTTAATTTAAATCGTTCTGCTTGTGAATTCACTCTACTGACGTATGTAGTGTAGTATTCGTTAACTTCTTTAGTCAACTGTAGACAATTATACCTGATACGAAATGGTGACATCTGTTCACAAAACATTTTATTTAAATTGTTGACAGTTTCATCGAAATGAACTTCTCGTGGATGTCTAAGCATGATATGATTTTCATACTTCTGATACTCATTGGGACTAAGTCTTTTACGTCGCCCATAGCAGCAGATTATACTCAGAAACTATCTTATTTTCTGCCAAACCATTCCTCAAATGTATGACCACTTTCTGCACCAAAAATAAATCCTGAGATTGTTTTGCAAAAGTATTAGTGTAATTTAATGATATTATGTGAATTTATTTAATGGTATATGGGCTGCATGCGATGTATGTAGTCTCATGTCGACTAATTGTCTTATACTTATGGTTAATCTTATTTCAGATAATCAAGGTAGAACTACATCTCCATAATAACGTTTTAATAAATTGTTTTACTTTTTTATACTTTATTTTGTTTGTATGTCGTGATCAAGTACTTAACAATAGTGAGTTTTCTTTCTTACATCAATATTGTAACCATGTTTAAAATTGTGAAAAACTAGTCTAACACGTGTTCTATTTGATTAGACCTAAGAAATTTAAACGGATTTACATTGGGATGCATATATGTCAATTAACCAAACTCTTAATCTATGCGACAGTACATATTATATTGTCTCCTGTTCTAATCACCAGTTTTTGCACTATAAGAAGGATGAAACTTAAGTCTACTAACCTCACATAATCGTTATACGACTTAAGAAAGGCAGGTTGTATAGTAAATAAAAATGTCTACTAAACACCAGAAATTATGGACGTACAACGTTTGTGTACAAGTGTACCTACTTGTTGTTAGATGATTAAAAACAATCAATAATAAAATTCGGAAATCAGGTTTCATGCTACTCGGAACCAGAAAAATATTGTCGTCTTGAGGGGATTGGTTTTTTTTGTGTGTAGTTTGAACTCATTCCTCACGTTTTCACAGTCACAGATGTGTTAATACCAGGTTATTTGCGCCGTAACTAATCTTTAGGTCTGGGATTTCAAGACATAGTAAACGCCTATGTCCAGACTCGTAGCCCTATCGCAACTTGATTGGTAGAATTTGACCAAAAATAAAGGTTTTAACAAACAACGACGTTGGTCACTAAATAATCAGTTAGTATAATCATTTTCACTGAACTGACAGCCAATAAAGTGTAATCGAAATCTCCTAATTCAGTAGTGCTAGTAATATATCAACAGTAATGCGCTGTTAAAAATACCGTCATCTTTGTGCCTGTAACTGATGGGTTATCATCCAATCCTACAAGACACTTTCTATTTCATACATATTAGCATCTGTTCTTTTACTGTATAAAATAATCTGAAATAATGGAGGGTTCTTACACCTTAAATTCATCAGCATACCTCTTTTGCTTTGGTATATTTCCGTATTTTCACCTTTATACATATGTTCGTAAATACGTAAGTATTGACTATTCCCATATAATCTATCATAAGACTCTTGTATGCTTGTAGGGACTTGAGGAACGAAATAAATTTGCAGTTGATTGTTTTTCATGTTTATAAAAAATACTGAAAATTTGTTTTCTTTTTTTTCGAAAGGTTTGCTTATTCATTCCTGGTGTATTGTCAAGTTAATATTTAGTCTTCTGTTTTTAATTTAATAGTTATGTTCAGCTATTTTAATTACATTGGAATAACAAATGTTAGAGCTAATCTCTCCAAAACTCTTCTTATCAATTAATATTATTACCTGAAAACATCCACCATATTTGTATATTGCTAGTCAAGTCAGTAAGAATAAATTTAAAGGTTTAGGGTCTATTACACTTTCGTTTAATGAAGAATGATGGTTTATCCCTTTTCATATCTGGTTTAGCCGCAGATAATTAAGTGTTTCAATGGGTTGATGCGTCTATTTTCCCAGGTAATTGTTTGATCCCTGATGAGCCACTTACCTTTAAAATCTCATTACCACTAAATTATTTTCTCGGTACACCAGTACAGTACATTTAGAAAATATGATCATTGGAGGTTTGACGGTATGTAACTACTTGCACTATCATATAACTATCATATAATCCTTCATTAGATGTTAAGCCATAGACGTACCTACCGACTCCTTACTATAGGGGCATTTCTTTACTTGAAAGCAGAATTCGATTTCATTGAACGACAAGTTTCTGTCAGCATCTATCAGTAAGTGGGATACCAAACAAGTGTATAAACTCAAACACTATCATTCGACTCAGAGCTTATAGTGTACTGCCATCAAAGCTGATTATATAAATTATTGTTCGCAAGAATTTGTCATTTTCCTGGATTTAATTAACTTGGTCATAGATTTTCTTTTAGAGATAATACTCCTCTAGGTTTTCGGGAATTAATCTCGTACCAGGAGATTTACTTGTTAATTGACAATAAGTAGATGATATGGTCCTGTTCAATAAAGACTCACAAAATTTAGAGTTTTCTAAACGCGTTTCCCCACCTCTAAATGAAAAAGAGTGCTTGAGGATTGGTCTATGTCAACGCCTAAGATGATTATAATGGTTGAAGTATTTGAATGTGCTTACTATTTCACCTGTCTTAGAAGTTCCATTAACCCTGGTGGGCTGATGTCTGACAAAATCTCAGCATGGATTCCGTAAACTAATTTCTCTCTTGTCAAATTAGATCACTTGTGACTAAGACAAAATATCTACCTCTCAATGAAAGGACGAGTATACCACACAACACTGTTTTGTTCAGCTTTATGGTTGTGAAACGTGGTCTTTAAAAATAGAGGACATTCGTGGATTATTAGTGTTTTTTTATGGATTCCTTCGAAACATTGCTCTCGTACGTTTGGATCACTGAGTGATCAATGCTGCGGTTAGACTTAGCTTGCTAGTTCAAGATGGCGAGTAAGTTGATATGATAGTAAACCTTCATTAACCACAGCGGCTGGTATGTATTACATGTACCCAACCACCACCTACTTCAGTGTTCAATGAAGGTTGGTATAGGAGTAGTCTGGAGTTTGGAAGAAAGTTAGAGGTAACTAAATCAAATTTTAGACGAAAGTTCTTATTTTTTATTCTGCAATCGCATAAAATTATCGAAGAAAATGTACAATTTGTATAACCACCGAATTTTCAATAAACGCTGTTTAAGCCAGCATGTTTATCCAAAAACGCTAAGAGTTAAGACTCCAGACAATTCTATACGTTCACAAAAAGCAGCTGTTACAGCTACTAGAGTATTCCTTAGAGAACGTATACATAAATCCACTTTTAACTTGGAATCCCTACGTTCACGTATAGCAAACATTGATAGTGCTTTATCAATAATTATACCACCAGAATTAAAAACAAATGTTAATGAATTTTCGAAACATAGAGATAACTTTTATAACCAAATCACAAAAAGACGTCAAATAAGAAAATTTGAACAAATGTTTAGACATTCGTCGAAATCCAACAATGATAAGATTAAAAATAAATCCAATGAACTCGATATAAACAAAATAGTGGTAAATCTATCGGATAGACAGTTAAATTAACACGAACTTTCAATACTTAAAAAAGGTCTCAATTTCAATATGAACAGAACACAGATTTCGGCTTCTGAAATTATTCCGTTGATCGAGCCTGCCTTAATACATTGAGGTTTAAAATCGCAGCTGTAATTTTGAATCAAAAACCTAATACGCCCTAATATCTCTAAAGAAGAAACGTATGCCCTAAAACAGTTACGGAAAGACAGAAAAATTGTTATTATGAAAGCAGACAAGGGAAACACCACTGTTGTTATGAATAATTCTGACTATAAAAGAAAAGTCAATGAACATCTCCATAATGGACCGTATGAAAAAATCATGAAGAGCAAATGTAGAGCCACTTTAAATAAGTTGAAAGCTGAAACGGCCAAATTGCTACAGAATTTAAACCCCAAACTAGGATCATCTTTATGGTTCTCTTTATATCCAAAAAGCAATAGCCCGTGTAGATTTTATGGCCAACCAAAAATACACAAAACAGATGTACCACTAAGACCTGTGATTGATTACATTAATTCACCAACTTATAATCTTTCTAGATACTTGGCCAAAATTCTTAAACCATATGAAAGCGTAATAAAATATGGAATAAAAAATTCTAATGATTTCAAAAACATTGTCAGTAATATTCGGATAGAAGAGGATGAAGTAATGGCAAGTTTTGATGTTTGCTCATTGTTCACTAATGTTACTGTTAAAAAAGCTTTAGATATTGTGTGTAACCTGTTAGATTCTGACACTGATCTTAAACAGCGTTGCCTTCTAGACCCCTCAGACATTATTAGAGCGTTGGAGCTTTGTTTACATTCGACGGTTTTCATTTTTCGAGGAGTTCTGTACAGACAAACAGGTGTGGCTATGGGATCACCTGTCTCTCCAATTGTGGCTAATTTATTCATGCATTCATTGGAAACAATTGCTATCTCAATGTGTTCCATTCCACCAAAAATTTAGGTAAGATACGTAGATGATACCTTTGTCATTATAAAACGAGATGGTTTAGACGAACTATTCCAACGGTTCAACAGCTTAGATGACAAAATCAAGTTTACTAAAGAGTTGGAATCGCCTGAACGCAGATTACCTTTTCTAGACTGCCTGGTTGAAAGGAAGGATAATGATTGTTTAAAAATTAATATATTCCGAAAGCCTACATATTCAGGGAAATTTTTAGATTTTAAGTCTGCGCATCCACACTCGACCAAAGTGACAGTGGCCAAAAATTTAATAACCAGGGTTAAAAAACTTGTCACTGAACCGAATGATATAAAAATGGAAATGAATTTAGTTGTATCCACTCTATTAATGAATAATTATCCGACTAACAGCCGAAGCCCTACATATATGGGCTAATTCAAACAATATTAATAGGAGAGATGGAATACAACTAGCTGTCCCATGGCGACTAATAATTAATAAGTAAACCTGATCTACTTTTTGCAATTTGAATCATAGGAACTAATTTCAATGATTCAAATCCGTTATCTTATCTGAATATGTTAAACAATTGACTGGAATATTAAAAATAACACCTTCAATTACATATACATTCCTCTTTTATTTTGTTTACTTATCTTATTTATCTTCATCGAATGCAGGCTGTGGCATTTTTGATTCATTTCATATATAAAAATGATCTGTTTTCTTAATATACACAGACCGAAGTCAATATTTAGTTGAATGAAATTTCTTCTCACATCACTTGCGTATAAACACATTCTGTTGTCTTAACACGTTTTTGGTTCCATAACACATACCTTGTCCTTATGTGTACAAAAACAATTTGTCATAACCTTGTATTTACCTTGTAATCCTTAAGTCATTCTATGGCCCAGGATAACACGACAATTTCTTATTCTTTCTCTCCCCGTGATTATTTTCAAATGAACTTTTATTTGGTTGACCTTTATTATTTTTCATATTATTTCCATATAAACATGTCTCTCACACATTAATGCAAATACCTATTTTAATCGTTTAAAAATCCCCGTCATATTCGTTCAAATACCTATTTATAAAAAATCCTTCACGTTGATTGGATGACTTATTCAGTATACAGTAAACCGAAGAACCTTGTACCTATTTATATTCGATAATTTTGTTGTTTGATTATATTTTCCTTGAAAAAGCTTGGACCAGATTGCCAGGCGAAACGTTGGATTTACTTCAAATTCATTCGCTGAGATTTTACAAATATATTCTTCTTTTTAATGTCTCAAATTAACTCGGCGCCCAAATATTGTGAAACTATTCGTTCAAATTTAGACGAAAGTTCTTATTTTCTAAATCAAATTAGTTTACAAAGTCATTGACTGTTAGTAAATTCATAATATCTGGTTGGGATCCGCGTGATTATTACGACTGATGTTTAGAGACATTACATAACATGGATGGAAGTCTATCACAATGACTTAGTTGCATTCACTATTTATCTTCTTTAGATCTCGACTTTCAAAACTATTTTATCTCTTATACGAATATTCGTCAAGATTAGAACGAATAGTTTGACAGAAATTGGGCGCCGAGTATAGGGAAGTCATATATGTAAAAATTATATTTGAAATAATCTCAGCGATTGAAATTTAAATTATTCCAACTTTTCGTCCAGCTAACTTGTCTGGACTTCTTCAGGGTAATAATAAGTTAGCTGGACGAAACGTTGGAATTATTTAAATCCCAATCGCTGAGATTATTTCAAATATAATTTTCACATATATTTTATCTTTTATTCCAGAAATCCCTGATGTCATCATGGTGTCTAAACTTTTTATAATCACTTTTACTATGATTACTTCAGTATTCGTTTTGATAATATCATTTTGTGTTAATTTGATGTGCCAATTTAGGTCAGTTCACACATGTGTCATTTTCTACGTTACTAATGGCTGACAAACTTTTTGAGCAATTAAATCATGCCTTTTTGAATATTCCTTTATTATAGTTTTATCTACTACTTATTTATTCATTAGTATAGATTATTATTCTTTTTGTTTGATTTACGTATATTCTTTAATCTTTTGTCATGAATCCAATACATTTTTCTATTAATGAAATGTTCTATACGTATTTACGTGCGTTTATGAGTACAGATGTACATTGAACATTCTAATATTATTCCCGTTTACGATGCTTGAAGTTTTGTATAACTCTAATTTGTTTTAAAATATCAGATGTTCAATCATATATGCTTCGTATTGTTGTTAAAATTAAGTGATAGTCGAATGATCACTGATTTATATTGTGTACTAATTCAATTTTTCTTATATCGGTTTCACTAAAGTTCAGCTTTGTAAAAGATAGTTTCTGTGAGTATTCATATGATATACTGTACTATTATATATAACGTTCTTAATTTCATGTAATTCTTATGCTTATATATGTATATATATATATGCTTATACTCTTAGAGTTGACGGCTAACTTTGAATGTGGTTCAGACTGTGATCCAACTGTTTGTTCTGTCAATTTGAGCAATTCTAACCTTTTTTATGCCAATACAGCAGCATCTTCCTCCTGTTCGTCTACTATACCAGTAAATACAGCAACTTGTTCAAAAACTACTTCCAGACCTATTGATCCACGAATATCTACCAATTTGGTTAACCGAAAAGATAGATATAATTATGGCAGTATATTCAATTCCAGTCATACTGAACTACATCATAATGTTAATAGTAATAGTTTACAGACTCAAAGTATTCCTGTAGAATCAGGTAACTTGTTGATTCCCTCCTCTCTACTTCGTAATCACTCTTATTACTAAACACCTCTATTTTTCTACAATAAAATCATTTATGTGTCTTTCTGTTAGGTTTTTCTTTGTTTTAATTGTCATCAATTCTGTGTAGTTGTCATGCCCTTTTATAAGTTACCAACGTATTGATTATTTGTAAAAATTGTTGGTTCCCCTCCCTTCTTTTCATTTTAATACCCTGATTCTGTTTGTTTTTTTCACAACTTAATGTTACAGATATCGTGTCATGGTCGATAATTCTACGTCTATAGCTGTGTGTATGTGTGTTTATGTTTAAATGTTGTCAGTTTGTGTATTTTTTTTCAATGTATATTTTCTTCAAATTACGCTATAAATGAGTGAATTAACCAATTAATTATTTGTATTTTTGCTTTTTTTTCCATTGCATTGCAGCGTCTTATGATAATGCTGTTGTATACAATAAAACGAAAATATCATTAGAGAACTACAAAAAAATGAAATCTATCAATAATATGAGAAAACGTCCGTTTACCTCTGGTCCAAATATAGTAAAAACTTCATCAGATAGTTTGAACATACTTAGACCGTCTCATACTGATATACACCATCAAGTATTAAGTTTACCACAAGATTATCAGAGTATTTCATTAAATAATTCAATAGAATCTAGTCTTCATTTTCGTAGTACAATTCACCAAACACCTCTAGTTGAAATACAAGGCTCACACGGTTGGTTCAGTTCCACAGATGATGAAGATGATTATGATGATAACAATGTTGTAAGTGGTGGTAGTTGCATCGGTGCTAATAATAAAATTCAATCAAGAAAACAAAAGAATCATTTCTCCAATTTAAATCATCTTACTAATAGTACTACTATTTCAGACAAAATACAAATACCAACACATTCTACATATTCTACAATGATTGGTCAAGAGATTCCTAATACATCTCAGCAATCAGCTGTTGTACATTCTAACAATACTACTGTTAATACCAGTCATGAGATTAATAATAATGATAAAAATCGAAATGATAAGCCAGATTCTGTGAGTAGTATTGGTTTAACAGATGATCAGACAGATGTAAATTCAGAATTTATTCCAATGTATAAGATGAATGTAAGTTCTTGTCAAATGATTTAAGTTTTTTTTTCTGAAAAAAATTAATTTCTGTTTGCTGTACCAAATTAAAACAGTTTATCAGTTCTATTTCTGAAAAAATGTTAACTTACAATTCAATAGGTTTTTATGCGAGGACTATTGATACTGCTAATTAGCTACCAGATAGATAGAACAGAGTTCGTATCAGGAACTCATGTCATATACTTTGATCATAAAGTAACTAGTAGTGATCTTCACATATCTTACGTTTTTAAAATCTTTTCTGTAAATAAATCAACTTATTCTCTATTATATTGTGGAAATAAATTCGATAGATTGAATAGCTTTAGATTAACAAAGAATAATATTATTTTTCAAAGGTAAAACTTTAGATAATCATAAGTTTTATTGTTAAAAGTATAAGACTTAAAGTAAAATATTTCATGTATTTTCACTGCCGACTAGTTTGGATCATCCAATTCTAAGTAAAAGTGAATTTTCTGATTATTCTACAACTATTTGGTCCTTATATTTTGTTAACTCTGTTTAATCACTACTTCGTGGATTGGTTGAAGTTAGACATTAACACCGTTGGATGCCGGCTCAGTGGTCTAATGATTAAGTGCTCGCGCGCGAAGCCAGTAGGTCCTGGGTTCGAATCCCGCAGGGGGCGTGTTCGTGGATGCGCACTGCTGAGGAGTCCCATACTAGGACGAAACGGCCGTCCAGTGCTTCCAGGTTTTCAATGGTGGTCTAGCTTCAACTGACTCATGATTTCAACCTGTGAAATTAAAAAATCATCTAATATCTAATACTTGCCTTCTCATACCTTAAAATTCTAAAGTAGTTCTCGCCCATGAGCCTATATATTGTATAACTTAAAGAATTTCTAGGTCTTGTGACTAGCTTATCACATTTAGACCATTAAACTGATATCCACTTGTTTTCATTTTTAACTTCAATCAATCTGTCAGTTATAGTTACAGTTTGTAAATCTAATGCACGATGTTATGTATGATGTTTGATATTGTGAAGTTTTTTTGTGAGACTATAATTTATGGACGGTCTATAAGTCACCTTGAGACAACCCACCTGCTTACTAAGGTCAAAAAGGTTTTATAAATTAGTATCAGGAATCATAATTTGGGAGTTAAAGTAAGGGTTTCCATTACAAACTGATATCATCTATAGTACCGAAATCCTATTTATCTATATCGGCGAATAAAGTTCGCTTCACAATCCAAGACTCATTGTCAGTAATTCAGTTGGTTCGTCCATAAGTTATAGTTTTCATTACATTTACTAAAACAATCGCCTTTATATAGCCATTTTATCTTAGATTTAATATAACAGATTGACTATAGCAAGTAGTGGAACCTAGGAAGCACTTTTCGTCTTGTTTGGGATTCGTCAACTGGTGTTTGTATTTTAACCCGAACACAGTGCCTTTTTTCAGTGCTTAACGCTGCGGGGTTTTCAGAGAAAAGTACGAGATTCCATTACTAGCCATGACAGAGTTAATGCAAATTTTGTCATCTAAAAGCTTACTAGATGGTGTTTAGTGTTCTGGACTTAAGTGATATATTATTGTTATAACTTGTGGCCTTGTTCCCTATTAATATATAACATAACGATGCCGCTATTTAGAGAACAGTGATTTACCGACCGGACCAATGACGTGTAAACCTGTTCGAGCAGTCTAGAGTCCTTATCGGTCCTTCTTTCTACCTTACCCTGCCTGTTGAGTCCAGAGCACCATTCTCAGCCTCTGCAATATAAATCATCTATTTCAAACATACACTGGGTTTATATACAAACCACATCGCACCACAAAATAAAAAAACACCATTTGCACGAGATTTAGTCAAATGTGGCTGTGAATGTGGGGGCCTGTAATTAATAGACTGGGCATAACCCAAGAACGGCAAGTCGTATAATAATAGTTTATGGGTCAAAATAAAGCTTGTAATGAAAGGAGTATAGATATACGTAATCTAGCTACTGAATAGTTATACATTGAGAATATACGTACAATATTTATCCAATAAATAGTTCTCAAAAGTTACCATTCATAATCCTCGTCGGGATAAAACAACTATAGTGAAATTTTTTTCCAATTATATGTTATGACATTTGGCATTAGCAGATCAGCGCTTTTCATTTTGAATGTTAAAGGTGAGTAACGTTGAACGATGCGTTCTCCATGAAAATTCATCCAAGATTAAACCAAAAAGGAATGTTTAGAATTTTCGCCATTTCTAACTTTTAAACCCTTTGCAAGAAATTTCAAATTCCACTCTTTCAAAGTTTTATTCGTTATAATTACTCATTAAAGGCGCACCAAATTACTACAATAAGTACCTATTTACTTTCCCTTCTATCATCATCAATAGTAACGACAAGTAACTTCTGTAATTATTTATGTTCTCAATTATAAGTGAGTCTAATAATGAACAGTTTAAAATGTTGTAATGACGGATTTTGTTTTTTTGTGTGTCACGATCTGTCAGCAAACTAAGAAATGACAAATTCATTTCAATCTTTTGCTGCACACACGCACAGAGATCGTAACCATCAATCTATTAATTCATATTATTTATTTATTTTTCTTTTTTATTATTAAGGTGTTATTATATGTATCAGATTTGTCTAAAAAACGTTATGGAACATTGAATAGAAAATATTTACTTTATTTCTGGTAAGCACATTCAAAGCTATTTGTACTGTTTTTAACGGTTATGATCAATAAAGTTTCTGACTTCAAAATATTGGTAGTAATATAACTGCTAGGTTTGAAGCTATTGCGAGTTCACTTAGTATGCGAACGGAACAAAGACGTGTGACCGTAGACCAATAAGCTAGCTATTTGAAGCGTCTCAGCCCCGCTAACTAGAGGAAGAAGTCTAAGCTTGGAACGGGAAAGTATATTCCGTAAGCCCGAAGCAAGAGTGAATAATAACAGACACAAATCAAACGTATATATACTTCATAAAACTGTCCTTGGGAAGCGTAGCAAAAATAACATACTAAAAATACACAATGGACCAATAACGTTAAAGATTCTCTCAAGTGGAAAATACGATATGAAGGTGAAAAGTGCGCTTTTGGCGCGAAAACAAGGAAATTTAAATTTTCAAAAAAAAATTATAAAATCAAAGCATTTACGAAGTGAGTTCTGGGGATCTAACATCCATAACAATAACCAAGACTGATCATTAAAATACTTAATTATTAAATATTTTTTTCAATATTAATTATCTGTTCCACAATGAGCAATTCTCAATATAAAATCCTCCAAAGGTTGGGCAATAGAGGTAGTTATTACATTATGGTAAAATACGCCTGTCTCAGTAGATCACCCATCCAATCAATAAGTTTAAAGGACTTCCTTCGCCATCTCATCGTTTTTATGCTGACAATTCAATATTATACTAAACATAATAAATAAAGCCATTGTTGTTAAAATTCATCCTTCTTTCATGGTATAAAAGTTTACAAAATTTATACATTAAGGGAAGTTTTTAAACCAGTGATTGTTTCTGTATTTGTATTCAATCATGACATTGTTTTCAATTAGTTTTGCTTTGAAAGCATTAACCATTACAAGGTAATATGGTACTTTATTAATTGGTAGAAAAAACTGTCGCAGATACGAATTGAATCATGTAAGGTCGAGCGATGGTAATGTTGAAGTAAAGCACTAACATAAGAAAATCTTACAGTTGTTACTTTAAAAGCTGGTTATTGACTTTTAATATTGAGTAATAGTTTATGAATTATTTTAAATAATCTACAATCTTAAGAGCGGACAACAGGCACCCGATAGTTTTTTTTCTCAAGTAACGTTATTACCTCTGATTGATAAAAATATCTAAGATTTGGGTGGAGTTTTGTTCTTTGGGCTGGATGGTTTGGTCGTGGAGCTTTCATTGTTCGTCTGAACAACATCATCAGCACAAACTTCAGATAGAAGTAAATTGTTCAAATTTCTCCACATATGACTCACAGGTTGTCTTGTCCAACCTTCATCTCGGTTGGTTATTGTTGACCTTTAATCTTTCATTGTCTACTTCTTTACATTGATTGTACCTCCCTTTGATTTAATTCTTGGTCCTATATTTGTCCATGATTTTTCCTATTTGTTTGGTAGATTGGGTCAGTTTCAATGTGTTTGTTGATTGCTGATTGACTTGAATGCCAAGCTTCCAAAAATTCTCTGGTGTATTTAGAATTTCCTTTATCCAAGATCTTAATATTTTTCCAGTCGAATGTGTGTTTACATTTGTCCATATGTATTGATATAAGCGAAGATATGTCATGGTGTTTGACCGTTAATTGATGTTCGTGCGGACGAAGATGAAGCAGTCGTCCACTCTGTCCGATGCTGTGTTTTTCGTAGTTGGAACAGTTATTTTGTAGATGATGTTCGGTTTTTCTTCTTGAATTTAGTATCATATTATTGTTTGTTTTTAATTAAAGGTATGTCAACTTTAAATTTATCGTTTCTTCCGTCTTATTTAATGAATCTTATAGGTATTTAATCATCATATCCATTTTCTATGGATTACCAGCAGTACAATTAATCATGACATACCAAAAGGTAAGGTAACGTATACCTTCTTTCTATATATACATATATTCATTGTATTTTATATATTTATAGGGTTGCGAAATATTAGTTTTACTAAAGATCACGCCATCTTTGTAGCTGATTTATAGGTTTGTATGATACATTGATAAACTCACTTAAACTGAAAGATGAGATGGAGCGTCATTTTAACTTTTTAAATAATTTGTTTCCAGAGTTCTGAGGTACTATCAATCTCGTTTACGTTTAATAACTACTTGCAAATTAACTAAATAGTTATCTAGTGTTATTAACGAACGACTACTGATATTATATTTGCCTGTTCTACTAAACCGTACAATTTATATTAGTTTAGAAGTTTACTATTGCTTGACCACTGACTAGTGACCAATGTTAAGTTTACTTAATCCCTTTACTGCTGACCGAATTCTATTGATCAAGTTGCAATATGGCGATTAGGTTGGGTAACTTGGTATAGAGTGTAATATGCTGAGATGTTTAATTGTTGGAGGGAAGGGTATAAATCAACTAGAGGTGGATACCGATTATATCAGTATAATATACATGTAACCAATATGTTCTATTACTTAATTGACGTTTCTCATAATGTTTTATTATTAAGTTTTGTGTATTTCTTCTTCAATAATATGAGTTTTTTTTATTTTATTTCAATACATAAATAATATGAGTAGGCTGTTTTTGAAACTGGTAATGAAGATTTATGCTATTACAACTTTGAATGTGCTCATTCACTTGGCATCTTCACGGCGTTTAACAATATTATTTCAAATATTGGCTATGTTATGCTAGGATTATTATTTCTTGGTTTGACTGCCCGACGGTAAGTAACACAAACATGAAATTTCCTGAAGAATTGATTCATTGATTTACATAGTTTTTCTAGAACCCTCCAATATTTTTCAAATTACTTTTGTTGCGAAAAGACATCAGCTGTAGCGCTACTGAAAAATAAGTAGTTGTTGACATTACGTTAATACTAATTCATGACTCCTACATGGTGTTTAACTTGAAACCTTTAAGTTTGAAGGTGAGCATAATATCACTCAGTTACTAAGTCTGTTCTGGTAGTTAATACTTTTTAATTTTAGCCTTTTCGTGATGTAGAGTAATCCTCATTCTATGTAAACAGAAGTCGCAATATACCTCAGAAGTTACACTAATTTCTACCTCTCCACCTCCGAGGTATATATATATATATATATATATATATATATATATATATATAAGGTGGAGTGCGGTTATACTTGCGCTGCCGTTAAAAGTGGCTTAGTTTATCAATAGGCAGTTTATAATAGTTTTTGTCTTATTGTACAATATATTTTTACATTGATGAGAAAGTTCATTTGCTACAAGAACCAAATGTTTACGCTAATTCGATTCTAACATAATCGAGTAAACAATCCATCTCTCTAACCAGTTTTCATTTCATATTTATAATAAACTTGTATTTAGGCTATGAAATTTTTGTTTTGATTAAGTACGTTGAATATCTGAATTAAACATGTTGTTCATACGTAAAACGTGGTCATACTTATTTAAACAATCAATTTACACACAGATAGTATCAGTCAACATTCATATAAACTTTTAAGAGAAAAAATCCATTATGATTCATCTAATCAACTGTTTTGATTGAATTGTTTATGAAGTATTCACTCATTAAAAGTCATGCTTTAAAAACATATTGGCGAATCATGTAATATGTATTATCAAGTCAAATGTGTGTGATTATTTGTTGTAGTAAAAGATTAGTCTAAATTGTCTGTACTCTCTCTCTCTCTCTCTCTCTCTCCTGTAATCTTCAAAATTCCACCTGAAATAGTTATTAGTTTTTGATGAGACGATTTATTATTCGACTATTCTCAAGTCATTTCATACCGGTGAATATAAGATTTAGATATACATAATTAAGTCCTATAGTCATTATTCTTTATATATACACTTACTATATATAATTATATATTCTGTACACCTACTTCTTCTATCCATCTTATAGTGATATTCTTCATAGGCGATCCAAAAATTTAAACCCAAACTCCCAGGTAATCATAGTGTGTTCGCTTTTGTGTTTATTTGTGAAAAAATATCTCTTAAATAGCCTTGTGTTCATTATTTTATTGTTAAATATTCTTCGTAAGTATATCCATCAGTTATTTTTCAACCAATAAATCTTTTTTAAACCAGAAACAGTTTAAGCGAGTTGGAGATACAAGACTTATAGTAATGCATAATTTAGAGAATATCCTCAGCTGTATTGCTTCTGAAAGGTTGATTGTGTAATTTATTAAAACATTTAACATTTAAGAATACTGCGACCTAAAGTCTAGAAACAAGATAAAGAGTTAGTGGATCTGCATCATTGTAGTCCTTTATAAGCTATGTAACCTGACGTTTTTCTGTCTGATGTGATGCAAATAGCCTGCATCTACCAATGTGGGTCACTACAATAGTCGATGATCTCATGGAGCGATGTCACGTTTTGGTTTAGCCATTTTTAGCTTTCTTCCAGCTTACTCATACTCTAGCGAGTATTATATGTCGAATTAGTCAGTTGTTGGGCGTATTCAATACGTATCACAGCCACCTCAATTGAGAAAGCAATTCTGTTAGGACACACACAACCTACACATGTCTTTTAATTTCGCTGACTATGTTTCATAGCCATGTAATAATACAGAGTATATTTCTGCATGGTATACTTTTCCTTTGTTTGTTAGATGGGTATCTCGACTGTGCCACAAGTGATACAAGCTGACAAAAACTAACCGAGATTTTTGAATTGGTGCCGAGATCTCGTTAGACACCATCCCACTAAGACTTGCAAAATAAGTGATGACGAACACATCCAACTACTTCACTCCTTATCATTAGTTCTTGTGCTGACACGAACCAGTCCTGGAACAAAATTTTGCATTTACAGGAAGTGAAATTTATCCCAAACATGTTTGCATTGTTACTCAAGGTAGTCTTCACCAAATAGAATTATGTCGCTTGAGTACTCTGTATTGATTAGGGAGTTTCTAGGAAAGAGATCAATCTCGGAAAAGTCACATAAATAAGGTGTTATTTCCAATAGGACTTTTCAATACATTGGGACACAGGTCCCCGATAATGGTAATTCAGCCCTATTTATATCTTAATTTATTGAATTTACTTACAGTTTAGGTACAGATATATTAATATTTAAGATAACGCAACTTACATCGTGTCACGAAAATAGCCACCTTAGACATTACGTAGATTATTTCGTAATTCATTGAATTTTAATAGTGTTAGCATTCAGCGTAAACTTGTATCTATAGTTCTGATGGATCATCCTTTTCAACAAGTACATCTCAATCTGCAGTAAATATATTATTGTACACTTTCACTCATTTCAAATCTTAATTAATTCAAGTTTAATTGCAACAGAGACAGTTTGTTATTAAAGTCTTCGGCTGAATTGCAAACTAAGTTTAACTTCGTACAAACGGATGGGGAGACACTTTTTAGACGTTTTAGATATACCACAATAATTTTCACAACTTCCTCTTAACAGTTGTTTGGTAATTTATCGATCATAAAGCATTTCAATAAATGTATTCTTTCAATAACACTATAATGTACAATTTCTTATTTGATTCTATATTTTATTATTTCTTTTATTTTTTCTTATTAAAATAAAATTTCATTAGGCTTTGGGTATACCGCAGCATTATGGTTTATTTTATGCAATGGGTTTAGCATTAACTATGGAAGGTCTAATGAGTGCATGTTATCATATGTGCCCGAATTTTTCTAATTTCCAATTTGGTAAGCCAACCAAAATACTAATATATAGTTATCCTATTTTGTAAATCATCTTATTTACTTATTTTACAAATCTCTCATTTTTATAGTAGACCTACTGACAAGACTATAATTTATGGACAACCTTAGAGCGATACTGAAGTGTCCACCTACTAACTATGACTAAATGAGGGTTATAAACCAGTGTGAGAAATTAGAATTTCAGTTTCGAGTTGATGGTTAGAGTTAGGAATTAGATTCAAGGTGTTCATCACGAACTGATATCAATTAAGAACCCAAAACGTTATTTTGCCAAATGGATAAATGAATTTCTCACCAAAACTCAAGACCTGTTATCTTACATCTGATTGATTCGTCCATAAATTATAGTCTCACCGACCTCTCTTACGTATTTCTCTGTACATAGAGATTATAACGACTTAGTATATATATATATATATATATATATAATATACTGGTAATAAGTTAATACAGTTTTATCGGTAGGGGGTTGTAAAGAATAAGTTTTTGATTGAGATCATGGTGGTCTAACATCAATCGGTTCATTATTTCAATCAATACAGTTTTAGCTGTTAAACACGTATCCGTGAATCTTATGCTAACAATCGCGGATGCCATCAGATTTCAGTACTATACTTTTCGTCTTTTCAAGAGCCTTACTGAGTGGAAAAAATAACTACCAACGTATTTTTTCTTACGATAAAAACCCTTATTTACAAAATATGTAATACAATGCCTCTAATATTTAATGTTGTTTATTGACTGAAGTCTTTTTTATTACTCACAACTATTACAATTAGCTTATATTTTTAAGGATGACATTAATAATTATTCTTGCAAATGCCCAAACAACCACACAATGGCTCATATATTTTTAATTATTATGAGCAAATGTCTGCTGCCATTTTCACGTACCAGACATAAAAAACTTCCTGTTCAAAGTCTTACGAGTGGATAGGTGTACTGTATATCTCTGTTTATAACCTTTAAAATGTCTTTTTTGACTGAGTCATTATTGTTTGATCCTATCATTTGTGTTTTCAGATACTGCTTATATGTATATACTCGGTATGCTAATAATGTTAAAAATTTATCAGACAAGACATCCTGATGTGAATGCATCAGCGCATTCAGCATATATGGTTATGGCTGTAGTTATTTTCCTCGGTGTTCTTGGTGTTGTAAGTTTTATTTCTGGTCATTATTGTAATATTTTTTTCAGTGAAATGGCTCACGGAATTCGGCAATATAAATATCAGCTGGTCACACGTACAGATAAGAAATGATATCATCTGTATCCTGGTGTTGATGTTCACAATAAAACTCGGACGTATTACTTGCTACTTTAAAAACCAATACGTTGTGCATTATGTTGCTGGATGTGAATAGCCTACAGTTTGTTTAATGGGTAGCATATTGACCAATATTGTTACTAGAAGTGGTACTAAGGTTCAATGTTTTCCCACTGTTAGTATTCTGGAGTGAGGTCGGTCTGTATTTTTTGGTATGTAGGTTTCCTGATCGAATATCCCAATATAACCTTAAAGTACAAGTTTATTTAATTTCTGAATTGTAGCTGGAGGATTTGAACCCATTATTCTAGTTAATAAGGCGTTTACACCTGAAATGATAAGTACTTGATTCGGGTTGACGGGCATCAGATAGGACGAAACGTACATTCTGTCACTCGAAAATGATTAAATTCAATTAGTCTGCCTGAGTCTAAAACGTCTGTACCTAAAGATAAATTTTGTTCGGTGATTAATAATGGAGTCTCAGTTTATTAGTGAAACCTGGTATTTTTCGAGCTAGAGATTCTCTTGAAATACCCCAGTCCTTTTCGCTTCGTTATGAACTTAATCCGGTTAGCAGCTCTTAATCATGTGTTGTTGCCTCCTGAGATCCATATATCCAAGTCCTCGTTTCGATTCATAACCTTGAAACTTATTTTAGGTGAATTGGTACTATTACAGTTAGAACTTATCAAATTATTTGTCATTTAATTAAAATATGAATACTACACAAGAACTATTTACTTAGTTTTAAATTGAATTCAAGGAATATTCACTCTACATAAAAATCTCTTTGCGCCCTTGATGAGTCCTCATAAAAGTCCTCGGAGGCTATAAGTAGGTTGAAGACACTTTTTCCAATTGACTTTTGATAGAAACTTCTCAAAGAGATTATATGAAAAATCTTTAACCTAAAGAATAGGCAAAAAGTGAATGTACAAATTTATCTTCACATGACAATCCGGCTCGTAATACATAGAAAGAAATGAAAACTTATGTTCAGTTAAATCTTATCACCAAACTGTATGTTTACTACTCCATAGAATTCAATACTTCCTCAGTTAGTATCTGTGATAAGGATCTTCCACGGTGTGGGCAGCCGGGAAGTGATATCAGCCCTCATACCCCTAACAGCACACGAGACCAAGTTGGTCACATTCAAATCCTTCCTACACCTCCTAATACCTCTCTTATCTCCATGACTAACCCTCCTCACGTCTCTTTATCACCTCGCACCGCTAGGGCAAACGATTCGAGTACGTGGAACGCTATTCCTGGTCTCCTGAAACCACGCTCTAAACTACACGTAGGAGCTTTTAACGTCCGAACACTTTTCCAAATAGGACAGCAGGTTTCCTTAGCTATGACTTTAGAATCCCGCGCCATCGATGTGTGCTGCGTCTCCGAAACGCGCATACAGGATCCGAGTAGCGTCATTCATTTGACCTCACCATGCCAAAATAAAGAACCGACTCGATTTACGCTTCGTGTATCTGGAAGCCCTGACTCTGCTTCCTGTGGCCTCGCCGGCGTAGGTATAGCATTGAGTTCTAGGGCAGAACTAGCCCTCTTAGAGTGGATCCCAGTAGACAGTCGTTTGTGCGCTATCCGACTAAACGGAACACTAAGGATCCGAAAAGATAGGGACACTCGTCGTTGCCTCTTCGTCGTTTCTGCCTATTCTCCCACTGACTGCAGCTCAGATGATGTAAAAGATGAGTTTTACAGAAAGCTTTCGGACCTTCTCCGAAAAGCTAAGCGCTCGGATGTAGTAATGGTGGCCGGTGACTTTAATGCTCAAGTAGATAAACTAAGCGATAAGGAAAGACACCTAGGTGGATCTTATGGTGTCGTGGCTCAAAGAACAGATAATGGCGACCGTCTGTTGCAGCTATGTTCAGATAATCGCCTGTTCCTTGCAAATACTAACTTTAAGCTTAAGGAAAAACATCTTTTAACATGGCGACCCCCTAATTCGTCCCAACGTTGGATCCAAATAGATCACATCGCTATCAGCCACCGATGGAGGGGCTCGATAGAAGACTGTCGCTCATTCTGGAGCACATGCCTAGATTCAGATAATGCTCTAGTACGAGCACGTATTTGCCTGCGTCTTACTGGACGTAAGAAAGACGCTGCAAGGAAACCTCTTAGGGTCCTGTTTAATGATAGTCAAACTAAGAGTATATTTCACTAACAACTAGAAAAACTGTTACGCAGCCATGTAAGTGATGCCCACCTCGAGGCAGCATGGAATGATATCCGAAAAGCTGTGGAAACAGCAGTGATATCTGCTAGTAAGGTAAACCAGAAGGTTAGGGAGAAACACTGGATCTCAACAGCATCTATCGCACTGATAGATTCTCGGAATCTCATTCCACCTGGCTCTGAACATAATGAAGAGCGGAGTCAGCTTAAGCGCAAGCTGACAAAAAGCCTACGCAATGATCGCGAACAGTGGTGGGTAGCGAAAGCGAGAGATGGAAAAGGCAGCGGCAATAGGCAATAGCAGACAATTGTTCAGACTTGTTAAGGAAACCGGTATTAGGAAACCGACTGTTAGTGAAACACTCTTAGAGAAAGATGGACATATTATACATTCTCAATCCAGGAGATTGGATCGATGGGCAGAACACTTCAGGGATCAGTTCAACTGGCCTTCAGCCACACTTCGGTTTCCCACGATCTCTAGTCAACCTGAATGACAAGTTAATGTAGGTCCTCCGTCTCTTTACGAAGTTGAAAAAGCTATAGGAAATGTAAAGCGAGGGAGGTCTCATCAGCCCTTGTGGTCTGGTGTTTGACGAAATCACAGCACGGATACAGAAGGCTTGACTAGCTTTTGCCAACTTGCGACATTTATGGCGTAGGCGAGATATCCGTCTATCAACCAAAGGACGTTCGTTTCGTCCTACATTTTCTGGCAGTGAAACATGGCCGGTAAGAGTAGAGAACACCCGTAGGTTACTAGTATTCGATCATAGGTGTCTTCGAAATATTGCTCGTATATCCTGGGACCATCGAGTAAGTAATGCAGTTGTTAGGAAACGGGTACTAGGTAAGGATGGCAAATCAATTGATGACGTAGTGAAACTTCATCAGTTGAGATGGCTTGGACACGTGTTACGTATGCCCAACGACCGACTGCCTCGACGTGCGATGCTCAGTGGTATAGGAGTAGGTTGGAAGAAAGCTAGGGGCGGCCAGACCAAAACATGGCACAAGTCCATGAAGTCACTGAAAAGTGGACTGAGTCATGTTGGTAAGTGTAGACTACCTGGTTGGGGACCGCGAGATGATAGCAACCGATGGTTAGAGACCCTGAATGACATGGCTCAAAATCGTTTGTAATGGCGCAGGTGCATCCACTCTCTGTGTTCTCCCAAATTCTAACCTTCTGAATTCTTCATGTCCCTTTCTTTCTTCTCTTTCCAAATTTATTTCACTGTATTGTACTCCTTAAATAACATCTTCAAACCCTAATTTTTCTGATTACAGCTTATAATTTTACTACATCTAGCACTACGGGATTTGAATCAACCACTGCATCTTTGTGCTAATGTGGTATGGCAACTCGAACTGATGTACGTACGTACGAAGTTCTACGTTGTTACTGACTGACTGTGATGAGGATAACAGATGAACGAGCCAATCAAATTCAAGATTGCATATCTTGAATTTTAGCTCGAAATTCATCCATCCAATTAGTTAAATTTAATTTTGCTGTAAGAACTGATATCAGCTCATGATGAAAACCTTTATTCAATTTCCTAACCCTAATATGAAACTCAAATTCTTAGTTCTATATTCTCACACTAATATATAATCTTCATTTAATCTTAAAAGTAAACACTATCATAGTCATTTAAGGATCATCTCTGAAGGGTTGTCCATAAATTATAGTCTCATCACAATTGTCTATAATTATATTGTTCGAGTAAAGTCATAGCTAGAAGGTATTTTATCATAATTATCAAATTGTATCAATCTACTATGAATAAATCAGCTAAATTTTATTTAATAAAATGAATCTGTATTAAATTAAATTTGAGATTAAAGTTGATTAAATTCATATTCTGTTAAATGTTCAATAAATTATAACTAAATTTAACAATTTAATAACTAATTTTGATTTACATGTTTATTACTTAATTACTTTACTTTACTTACCCACTCTGTCCTGAGCCTTTCTTTCTAGTTCTATCCAACTGTTGTCCATTCTTCTCATGTCTGTCTCCATTTCTCAGTGTAATATGTTCTTTGGTCTTTCTCTTATAAACTAAACTATTCTAATTTAAATTAAAGATCAAAGTATTTCGTTTCATTTCTTAACAAGTACATGTTAAATCTCAAAAATTTGTTACTATATACTATAAACAACAATAAATAATATGATCAATAACTACTTTTTTATAGCATAGATTAGTCGTATATAGCAATCGAATATATGATACTTATTTCGCCTCATTTCGGACTCGTCAATCGAATGTACTTGCATCCGAGTATTGATGTTTACAGTTGGACTCGAACCAAGCACTATTCACTTTAAATACTACTACTAATAATACTAATAAAGACTAATAAAAATTCAGCACTGAATGTCTGATAAGTCTACTACTTCATTATCACTAATACTACATACGGCTTCGGCACTTGAACATGTAGAACCCTCAAGTTACAAATCAAAAAGCAGAAGAAAACTGGGGAAGCGTCTACTGAAGTGATTGCTAACAACAGGCGTATTTATAATTTTTGGTATAAGCTGTAATCTATATTTTAAATGTTCTTTTACTTGCCCTCTAGAACTCCTTTGGAAATTGTCTTTCACTTAGTCACATGTCAGTCCGTCCTTTATGGATAGTTCTCTCTCGTCCCTGTTAAGGAGGAGATCTCGTCGTGGTATTAAAAGAAAGGAAGATCTAAAAAACATCAGACGTAAAATCAAACACTTACTGCTTCGGTTTGGGCTCCCAGGCAGTATCACAGCCCACACACAAACCAAGTGATTTGTGTAACGCATATGTATTCAGTGCCCTTTTGTACCAATATTTATGTTCAAATAAATAAAATGGGGAATTATTGGCAGTTTCTAGAAAAAATGTCTCCAGATGACTAAGAAAAATGTTTTGATTAATCGGCGGTTTTTATAAAATTCCAAAATGACTGGAAAATAACTACTTTTATCTCTTATTCTAATCTATTTAATATTGCATTCACTAACAAGCCTATGATCTTACCCCAGAGCTTCTAAAATCTCAAGGTCACCCGTAATCCTGTAAATAATCTTGTTTTCTGTACATAGTCTAACCTTCGAGGGAAATCTTCTATATCTCTAACCCTTTTTAATTCTCTGTCAAAGTTGTAATGAGCTAGGAAGCGATCAGAAAATTATTATTTGAAAAGCTTCAGAAACCAAGTCTCATCAATTGTAGTTGAAATCAATCTCTATTTATAAGTGTAAAATCTGGCCATATGATATATGTGAAAGTGAGCCGGTCATCATTGTTGGAATTGATCGAACAAATAGTACAATGGTAGTAAAGTAACGGATCCTTGCACTAATTAGTCGATCTCCTTTGCAGTTATGAGTAGGTCACACCTTATCACTGTCATTTATGCATTAGTATTCCGTTAATAATTCCAATGGCCCAAACGTACTCCTCCTCGTGACAATTCCCTAAGACTCCATAACAGCACCTTGACATACTATTAACGGTCGTTTGCTGGTAACTAACTTGATATCTGGTTTCTTTGTGTGGTTATTTATTTATTTGAACACATATATTGGTACAGGAGTGCGCCAAACATATATGCGCCACACGATTTCAGTTCATTAATTGCGTGTGGGCTGCGTTACTGCCCGGGTGCCCAGACCGAAGCAGGTGGTTCTCTTAGGGGGCCACACCCCGAGCCTTTGACCTAAAGGTCTAATCCACAAGGCAGTGGAGCATCGTAAGGAGATGCAGTCCCATGGTAGCCGGTGACCGAAAATTGGTTCATACGCCATTTGTTCCCGCAGGATACTGGTGCCCATGTGCACCATTGGTTTGGAATCCGGTTGAAGCGCCGGACATTCGCTTTTCGTCCTCTCATTTTCGTAAACAACACCCCCGCCACGAGAAGGCAGTGAGTATGACTTCCATGGCAGAGGCTGTATACGCGCGGCCGTGTGAGAATATTTCGAGAGGAAGGGCGAACCCACCCCGCTCTCGGCCATACCAAGGCGTTTGGGTAGAAATCTGTTGCATAAGGATTGTGACATAGGGTCAATAGAATAGTAACTCATCATTTACATCATAAATGAGAATAATACTTTATCTTGAATAGCCCAACACTGGAAAACATGAATCATTAGATTAGAACTCTAACTAAATGACATTTTCCTCACTCCAAAACATGGATGTAGGTTTAATCCTGGGGGTGATGTTCTAAATCCAACCCATAATTGCTATCTAATCTTCATTGGTCTTCAATAGTTCTTCAGCTGATATTGAGTTTGTAAATAAAGTTGCCTACATCGAATCTCAAATTAAACACTTGAAATGGCTTTGAACATAAAAATACGAGACAAGATCATCTTAACATGGCTTCCTATGGAATATAATAATAATAATAATCACAATATAACCTAAGTCTTAAAGTTGTATCATGGTTTCTTTTTTACAGTACCTGAATCCTGAAACCACCTTTCAGTCAGTCAGAATAACATCAGTCTTGTAACTTTATTATTATCGTACTTATCTTAGGTTATTGTTTTCTTGCTGACTTTATCTAATACATTGTAATGTCAAGCATTTAGTCTTAATCGGTGCTTGTGTATGTGTACGTGCATGAGGGAAAATTCTACTTGCAAATTTTAGATTAGTTTTTCTTGTTTCTTTACTTTTGTAATTCTTTTAGTTATATGGGAATCAGATTTTTTGGATTATATTCACTATCTTCTTTCTAATTATGAGCGTTATATTAACTGTTGAAATTTATTATATGGGTCAGTGGAATATTGGTGAGTTGAATATTTAGTCTTAATTTTATATATATATATATATATATATATTCTGGGTCATATCCTGGAACATCTTCAATCATTGGTCAAAATAAACGTTCTAGGCTCAACCAGCTAGTCTACATCTACCATGACCGCTTAGTTCGACAGTCACTGACTTCATGGACTGATGCTGTCATGGTTGGGGGCCTCTAGCTTTCTTTGAAATTAATCCTACATAATTACACATCACCCATTGTGTTATGTTTAAGAAGTTGATCTATACCACTTTCTAGATTTGCCAATCAGAAATCTAGCCACTATTTTAATACTCCCACGTATTTTATTTCGGTTCGTACTATTTTGACCCTAAGCTCTGACTAATAACATGCTTCGACTGGCAAGTTTAAACTTTGAATTGAACCGAGAATAATCCTAATTTACTGGTTCATTGATTTCCACTCTTCGATTCAACAAGAGAACACAGTAGTCATACTTTTTTTGAATATTTCAGGCACGCGAAATATATATCTCAAACACATTAGTTCACATACATGAATTGTCATACCACAACACGCACCACATATGAAATCATACTTCTACATACAACCATCCCGTAAGTGACAGAGTACGGGGAGAATGGTACATAATTAATCAGCAATAATTAAGGAATAATGTTGGGGGTGCTAGATCCTCAGAAATCACTTGTTAAATGTCTTATTTTTGTAATTTTGTTTTGGAAATTCGAATTTCTAGTTTTCGTGCCAAAAGAGCCCATTTATACCTTCAGATTGTATTTCCCACTTCTCCTTTTAGTTAACGAGTCTGGGATGCATTTGAAATAGTTGAGCTGTTTTTTTATTGTGTTCCATTGGCTGATATTTAGGGGATCTCATAATTTCTTCAAACAGCAAATAATAAATCGTATAACTATAGTTAATGAATCTAGTGGAAGCTTACAATAGGGAGAATATAGAAATACAATAGTACAGTTACCTACTAATTATACAATAAAAATGTAAATGATAATAATAGTCCTTTAAATAGTCACCAAAGTTATATTGTCCTCAATACCTGCCCCGTCATAACACGTTGAGATAGATTTTGAGATTGTACTACTCTTCCCAACCACATACATAGTGCATTTTTTTATTGTGAGTTATTTTGATTGTTACCAGTTTGATTTTTTTTAGTCGGCTAACTCATATTTTTTTAAAGAGATTAAACTTGACATTTATCTATACGAAGTGTTCATTTAACATTAGTATGGCCTATCAAATAAAAAACCACTGACTTGTGCGATGGAGTGAATTTTAATTCATACATATTGGCTGTTTGGATTTTTCCATAGTGAAAATCAACTCTAGGACGCAGGTACATTCAACTGCTGAGTTCCAACGACGACTAATAACGCGTCCTGGATTCCAGTGCTAGTCCCCGTCCATCTCTACTTAAACTTAAGAAGTCACTAGTTGTAAAAAAATTCCCATTATAATCTAACTTTAAAAAAATTATGCATCATTTTATACTTAGTTTTTGTGTACAAACTTTTATGTTACTTAACTAGGGAAGTTGTACCAATAGACCACAGTGTGTTTGCTCTACCTGATATTATTTTTGATTTTATAACGTTGTTATTCGTCATTATGTACTTCTTTAAACCACATTTCTCTTCTCTGTTTCCCTTTTCAAGATTTATGCCTTCCAAGACGTATTTATTATTTAATTCGTACAGATGGAATTGGTTGTCTTCGTCCAACTTATTTAGAGCGTATGCTTCTTTTACTTATTGCTAATCTAGTTAATTTCACCTTGTAAGTTTTTAAGAAAAACGTGTTTGTATTTCATTTTACATTCACCAATTTATTGAATTTCATAATATTTGATGATTAGAAGCATTTGTTTCGCGTTCAACTTCAATTGCGATATACACTCCTTATGGTATACCAAACTCATATTTTTATTTAATCAATTTATTATATGACTCCATTTTAGTAGAAAAACATGAAACAGTTTTTCTATTTTATTCTAACTTATTTACTTTGTATTTGCTGATTCAACACATCATCTTATACGTTGTTTATGTTTAAAAAATGGTATAGATCAATTTAATGTGAATGTGGCTAATGTCTATCTTTTCTTTGTATTGAGTTCCAGTGAAAACAATAACAGAGAGGTGATAATAACAATAAAACTCAATCAGATAGAATCATATTCTAATGACGAAATATAAATTGTGCTTCCAACTGTTACTTCTCATGTGACACAACTGAAAAAATGTCTACCATTCATTTTTGTATTAGTTGTTTGAATCTTTCCATTGATGTCTATGACTGCAATTGATCAGTTTCTTATCGGCATATGTGTATCCTGTGCGTATTGCCTCGTTATTACCTTAAGTCACAATCATTATAAGCAGAAATAAATAGTGGCTAGCAGTGGAATCCAAGGCGCGCGTTTCGTCCTATTTTGGACTCGTCAGCTGGGGTGTACCTGCATACGAAAGTTGATGTTCACTCCGAGACTCGAACGTAGTACCGTTCACCTCAAATATCCACTTTGCTACTGAGTCCAGATAGCCACTTGCTTGTGTAATGGAATGAAGTTTAATTCATTTTTGCATTAGCTGTTTCTCGATAAGAGACTGATCAATTGGAGTTCTAAACATCAATCGGATTGTAAAGTTAATAACCACTACAAGATAAGTATTCAATAAATGGTCATTGTCATTATGTGATTGAATCATATAGCTAATTGATTATGTTACTCTGTAAACAATTTAAATAGCATCTATAACACCTTGGAAAAACAGTTTGATCATTCGGTAATTATAAACCGAGCAGCCGTTAAAATAAATATGATTAATGTACCGATATTTGATGATATAGACCAATAGCTAGATGAATTATGTAGTAGAGATAGTGTACATTTTTCGAAGGACACTGGAAAGATAAGTAGAGGTATCCTATAATGGACACATTAATATCTGGATTCTTTAAATGTCTTTTTAAATATCTTGGTCAGTCATTATCAATATAAACCCAGGAATTATTATGTGTTAACCCTAGTTTCCATACCAAACTAACATGGCGATAAGATCAATAACAAGTGAGAAGGAAATAATGTAGTAGCAAGGAAAGTCAGAAAGACTCAGCACTGAAAATGTGGTTTGAAATACTGAGTGTAAAGGTAGGTATATATACAGGAATAATGGAACTAAATATCGAAAGGAAGACAACAGGTGAATACATCTTCAGCATTGTGAACGATTGTGAGCCATATCACCCAGTCGTCCAACGATTGATCGCGGTTATCACTCGAACCTCAAGCATATTGTCTACATTTACCAACACTCTTCGGATTAACAATCAATAACTTCATAGTGATTCCACGTCTTTGTTTGAACTCAGATATTTTAGATCCAGTTTTAGTCAGCTGCTTAATTATATTGTTTCGTAAAGTTAATAAAACTAGTTGCTCTGAATTGGATCATAAATTAGCAGATGCTCTGATTACATGATTTAGTGAGCATTAAATAATAAAAGCACCCACTATAGGTCACTAAAAACGATATAATTACCCTATTTCATTTATGATAATATAAATGGATATTAGAGAGTTGCCTTGTCGATTAATACACTGGATATCGTAGCTACAAACACTGACTCATCAACTTTTGTTTTGATACCACATTATTATAGTGAAGAAAAGATTTATAGAAATGAAAATTTGATAAGTTTATTTACTTAATCTCTCTTAATCAATAAGAATATGAAGGTATATTAGAAATTTCTTTAGAATTGTTAAGACTAGGGTTTTTGCTTTTACTTGAATCACTATGGTTAGAGATTCTTGGCGACATGGCTCAGAATCGATCCCAATGGCGTAGGTGTATACACTCTTTGTCTTCCCTTAAACTAAGAGATTAAAATCGCTTCATATCTTTCTTACTACGAATTAATTCTTTCTTCTTGTACTATATCCTTATATGCAATCTTTCTTTTATATATTACCACTTCTGAATTAACTACTTTTACGAATCCGGTGTTCACCTTGTTGTGTTAATGAGGTATGGCAACTTGGACCGATGCATATATGTGCCTGGTCCTACGTTGTAGGTGACTGACTGAGTCACTATAAACTTTGATGTGTAAAAGATGAGCTTGAATTCTAATGAAAAGATTTGCTGGTACATGATTAATTAACTTTGAAACATTCAGTATCGGTTCTCTGTGGTTAATTGTACGTGTGTAGTTTTGTCATGCCAAGTTTTATATGTAATTAGTAATATGTACCATACCATTTGTTTTCTGTTTACAGAGCCGGTTATGGCATAGTCAAACGACCAAGAGATTTTTCTACTTTTTTATTATCAATATTTATGATCAATTTATTGATGTACACATTTTTCTATGCAATTATGAAAGTAAGCAATTAATTGTTTAATTAAATTTTCAAAAAGGGCAGTTTTTTCAAGCAAAATTTAAGTTTATTTTTCATCACATATTGACTGTGTTGTATACTGTTTTGTTTAAGAATCAAAGATGATAAAATATATCAGTATAGGGTCGTGGAGATTATTAAGTTTTTAATTGAGATCATGAACCCATTGATGTTAGACCACCTTTGAAAAGGTGGACGTACTGGACAGCCGTTTCGTCCTATTGTGGGACTCCTCAGCAGTGCGAATCCACGATCCTGCTCGCGAAATATACCTCGTGAAATATACCTTAGAATAGTGGCGAACTTGAACCGATCTATATACATAAAAGTTCTACGTTGTGACTGAGTGTGATGTACCTTTAAGAAGTGCTCGTTTGACGTCTTTTACTGTTAATTTTGACAGTATTTAGCATTTAATTAATAACAGATTTACTAGTGTCAAGAAGTATGTTAACATACTCTATCATTGTGCACGAAAAATATCTCGCGAATTTATTCTAATGTGTTTAGGTTTCTTTTTTGTATGTTGAGTATATCTCAGTCATCCAATCTTTTACGAGCCATGCTTCAATAAATATCATTATCGAATTTCTATGATGTTCACATGTTTTTATTCTTTGACTTCAATGTTTTAATTGTTCAGTAACACATTAGAAATTGCTATATGATACACTCATCTTGATTTTTAGCCAAACATTTACCCCTACCATAACTAACGTAATTCAGAAAATGTCGAATAAGTCTTTTGTTATTCCTAGGTGATCGAACCACTAAAGCTAACAGAATTTTCTAAATCAATGAATTAGTGTACATTCAACTATCCAACTCCATGTCGTAAAACTAGATATCGAACAAAAACCATCACATTTTCTTAATTTCCGGTCCGTATCTCAGATAAACAATTACAAACACATCGATTACATATTTCATAGTTATACACTTACAAGTGTAACAGGTTGCTCTGTTACCTTGGATTTGACAAATAAAAAATTGACCATCTTTTTTTAAATTTTGTTTTGTGTTTAAAGTACTTTGAATCTACTCAAATTTAGATTTTCCAAGTATATCGTTACATTTATGTGATCATTGCTTGATTGCTTTTTTCTCACTACTTCCTAGTCCATAGATCATTATTTAACATATTAATTAATTTTATGCCATCTTGTTACCGAATCATATTTTGCATATATGATTGCAAATTATATATATACACGCATGTTTTATCAGTCATATTGTTGTGAACGAAAACACGAGTGGGGACAACCAATGTATGTTTATTACAAAATTACAGAATGTCTTGGTAAAATATGAGAACCGTACACTGAATATTTCATTTGCAAATGCCCATCATTTGGCCTTCACACTCTGTATGATTCTTCCAGTTCACAATTACTTTTTTTATTCTCTTCAGCTCGATCTTCTTAGCTTTCTGCTACCAGGTTTTTCACTTCCGATTGGTGTCACATACTACTTATTTCGACAGACATAAGTAGCATACACCACAATATGATCTCATGGGTATTTACTGTACATGGGTGATACAGCTGTTGTTTTGTTTCAGACAATGTCAAATACACAGAAATTTTACGTTAGTACATGAAGGTAATTGTGCTTATTAAAAAATAAACAAAGGTGAATCGACGTAGATTTTAATCTATAGTTGCGTAGTGTGTGCTACTGATGTAGACAGATATAAGTAGTATGTATCACCAATCGAAAGTGGAATGCCTGAAGGCAGAAGATTGAAGAGAAGAGAACGAGAACAGAAAGTGATTGATATGGAAATGAAGAAAAAACGAAGTCTAAGACAATTGATGGACATTTTGCAAATGAAGTATTTACTGTATTGTTTACAGATTGTACTAAGAGATTCTGTAAATTTATATTTAAATATATTGGGTTGTTCCCATTAGTAATCTCGTTCAACACAGTTGTACTAATACAATTTCAAATTTGTTTCTGCGGATCGATTGAATTCAGATAAAAAGATCGAAAATCTACTCTAGTCATCTCATAAAAATTTCTATATTTCAATACTTCAGATATTATTCCATTTAAATCAGTTTTCGGCTTTCTTCACATGTGCATAGTTGATGTTACTGATATGATGTTAACTTACTAATACATTTAATGGAAATCTGACTGTTACCGATATTATTATTGATCGTTTGCACACATCGGTAAATCTACTTTTATTTAGTGATTCAGTGCGTGTTTCTGTGATGACAGCGCTGTGTTCTAATCTGATGTTTATTTCGTGTTTACTAGGTCAGGTCAACGACTCCGCCTGGAGTCTTTCCGGGGGCTACTGCCGGTCCCAAACCCGGATAAAGGAGGAGGGTTGGGTATGGGGTTAGCGACCCCATCCCGTAGAAAACTAACTCGCTAAAAATGCTAACCAGAAAAAAGTTAGGTCAGGTCAACGACCACTGAATGATAAGATGCCATTTTGTTATGACAATCCAACATTTGGAACTGTATACTGTACTTGACAATTATTAAGATGTGTTTACACCAAATCTTCAATTTTATATATAGTGTAGAGACTGGGACTGACATATATCTGTCATTTTTCAAATTATTTATTCCTATAAGTAATAGTTAACTAAATCAGCTCTTACTTATCATTATCCCATAATCACGGTTGTCCGCGAAGTTTAGAAAAATGTTTGTCTCTGGTTTGTTGTGCTAAAAAGTCACTTATCAAATTGAGTTGAAACGTTCGCCTTCTTCTCTTGCTTCGCTTAGTTTTCCTGTTTCTCATCCTAATGTCTGTCTGCATTAAATAAACAAATCCAACTTAATTTATACATGGCTTCTTATTCCCTCCGTCGTTCAAACGAGGTTAGTCTAAGTGCAACATATGGTATTAAACGGAAGATTTGTTTTTCATGGCATATTCACTCATTTGTTCAAATTTGAGTCAGATCTCGAGCCACTAAATTTTTATTAGATACCATAATAGTTTCACTATATATAATATTTTTTTTAGAATTCTCATTCATTTCGAATCTAGAGTCATTGATGTTGTTTTAGTGACGGATTGCGTTGTTTACAAATTACACTTTACTTACTTTCTGCTTACTCCTGTTACTCCTAACGAAGCATAGACCGCCGACCAGCATTCTACAACCCACTCTGTCCTGGGCCTTCCTGTCCAGTTCTGTCCAATTTTCGTTCATTTTTCTCATGTCTGTCTCTATTTCTCGACGTAATGTGTTATTTGCTTCTCCTCTTTTCCTTTGGCCTTGGGGATTCCATATGTTCAAATCACCCTACTACTCAGAATAATGGTTTCTATTATACTAGCCCTACTTCTTCTTTATTACTGGATAATTTCAATAGTTGAAATCATGAGTCAATTGAAGTTAGACCGCCATGGTAAACCTGAAGGCACTGGACGGCCGTTTCGTCCTAGTATGGGACTCCTCAGCAGTGCACATCCACGATCCCGCCCCCTGCGAGATTAGACCACTGAGCCGGCATCCAACGGTGTTGATGTCTAACTTCAACCAATCCACCGTACACCATTGTCTTCAGTGGATACGTTTTAAATGATATTACTAAAATTTGCTTGATTGAATCATCTCAGTAACTAAAACCTACCATAAGCGGTTAAGTAAACATCCAGCTAACCCCCCTTTCTTTATCTAATCTAGTTTCATTCTAATTGAAATAAGAAGAGTGTAATAAAATAGATGGTAGAATACATTGTGATTAATGTTCAATTGAGACTTGGTAATTATGTAGACCTCTTATTCCAGTTAGAGTTAAGCATCAGACAACTAACTAATCCAGAAGAAACTTAAATATCAAACCCTGTTTTTTCTTAACTTCACCTATCATTCCCATAAACAAACCTTGTATTATAGTCTGATATCTGTGAAGCATTTAATGCATCCTAGTTGCTTTGTAAGCTCATCTTATTTAATAACAAGAAAAAAACTAGCTCCAATTTGTACTCTGAATTATGATTTATAGCGAAATCAATTAATCTATGGGAATAATCACCATTTACATCTCAATATGTTTCTTTTCTGTTAACTATATGCATTATTTTCAATTAGATTATAAATTTCAATGGCTGTATTTTAGTTTTCACTGGCTTTCTTTTTTTTCCTTTTCAAGTTAAGACATCGTGAACGCTTTCAAATGTTATCATTAGTATACATTTTACTAACTTGTATATCTTGGGGTTGTGCAATTTATTTTTATTTTAATCGAACAACCACATGGGAAGTAAGTGAATTAGTAATTTTTTTATTTTTCATATATTGAATACAAACTTAATAAGGACTTTAACTGTTTATATGGATATTCTATTAGAAATTCAGGTAAGAGAAAAGTAACTCCTTAAGTACGTCGACTACAGTTTAACATTGTACAGCGCAGATCACCAAGCCACATGCACACAGAGCGAATTCTAGAAGAAACGCAAAATGCCAGTGAATATGAGTGAACACAGGGATCTAAGAGTTGAATGTACCAATAAGATTCAAGTTTATATATTGTTATATCTAGAGCTTAAATTCTTGCTCTACCGCGTACTACTTGAGCACTCGAACGCTAGAACCCTCCAAGTCGCATGTTAGGACACAGAAGACGAGTGAGAGGGAATGTTATTTTAAACAGTGTCAAACGTGGTACAAAACTCTCAAGTAGTTACAGTTTTTAATAAAACAGAAATCACCATTACAGTCATTGAATCTGAATACAGTAATTTCTGGCATTTGTCTAATAGGGAAGCTACACGTCGAGACTCTATAATGTTCTTCTAAAGGATAATTGGATAGAATTTCTTTGGCTCTTTCTGACTTTCCTTGAGTTCACTCGGGGGCCATCATATATATATAAACGAATGAGTCACCGAGAGATTTAAGCTAGTAAAAGGGATATATTTGTATGCTGTAACAAGAGTAACAGCATACATGCTCAGACAGACATAATAATAATACAAAGAATGGATAAATTATTACCGCTCAAATCAAACTGTCTATAAAATAAACTAATTGAAGTATTTAACACAATGAAACGTAAACAAACTTACGTGTCGGTGACGTGTTGCACTCTGTATAGATACAAGCACAGTTGAAGAGAACTGTTCAGAAATGACGTTTCAAAACAATGAAAAGGCTTTTATTTTTTCTAACATAATCACAAGCTATGTGCCATTGAACCAAAATATTTCATATTGAATGATACAAATACAAATACAGTGAAACTCATACACGTTCCATATCATTATCAAATATTCATCAATCAAATAATTTAGTGAAAATCATTAGTTAAAAAGATTTATTTAAATAAGGCATCATTTTCTCCAGTCAATGAAACTGAGAATCAATATTGTTATTGACCTTGGAGCGAATTGATTTTGATCATTGTTTATAGTTTTTCCATGCACAATAAGCAAACACATATTCAGAAAGAAGCGAAGACATGGAGAAAGAAGTTGATCAATTAGATAATTCAGTGATAGAAAAACAACGATTTCAAATGTCCTATATGTTATTTGTTAAATGATTGAAATACAATAGAATTTGGTTAAATTACATTATGGATACTCATTTGAATACTTTTAAATGTGTATCCAGTAACAGCCCGTTTAATATATAACAAAAGATCTTTATGGAAAATAGTGTAAGTTTAGACTAGGTTATTAACAGATATTCTGAAGAAGTGATGAATCAGCGAAATTTTATTACAGTCGTGTTGTTAATCCCTTTAAGTAAATTAACGTTTTCTTAATTACTACTAATGACTTTTTTTAATGTATAAGTCTTATTTGCTTCAGAATATAGTAAAATACTTATGTTAAGCACTTTTATCTCAGCTCTGACAAGTCCAGAAGCACTGGATGGTCATTTCGTCCTAGTATGGGACTCCTGGGCAGTGCGTATCCACGACCCCGCACGCAAGACTCGAATCTGGGACCTTCAGTCTTGCGCGTGAACTCCCTACCTCTAGACCACTGAACCGGGATCCAATAGTGGTAATGTCTAACTTCAGTCGATCCATTATCTTACACAACCCTCTATCCATTGTGTGAAGTGGATAACTGTCTCACACTCGACACTGGTCACGGCTTCTCACTAGAATCGTGAATGTGCACTTCTGAGAAGTCCCATACTAGGACGAAATGGCCGTCTAGTGCTTCTAAGTTTTCAATGGTGGTTCAGCTTAGATCGACTCTTGGACTCAGCTACGAAAATTTGCAAATTAGGATGTCTGAACACTTACGTGAGCGAATGCGAAAACAAATGAAATCAAGTGACTCATTAAGAGTAGATGATAAACTTTCATTGTCCTCTATTGCTAAACATAGTTGAAACAGGTCATAGTATTGATGTTAACTCGGCTTTTGCTGTTTTGTACAAAAGTGTCCAAGGGTGTGTATACTTATGTTTATTGGAACCTTGTGACTTAATGGGAATGTTGAGGCAATCCAGTCCGCATATATGCTGAAAACGGACTGATGAACTGCAGTCCTAAACATCAATGAGAAGATTCAAAAGAATTATCGATGTTGGTAGAAAATCTTTATTGTTGTTTATTTTAGATACTATAAAATATTAGATTGGTTGCTCACTTGAAAAAAATAAATTACGACACATAGCTTTCAAACTTGTCACTAGTATTAAGAGCTTTCATGCTAATATTATAATCAAGATTTCAACTGAATCTAAATGACCTAAACTGTTGTAGTAACTTACAAATTTTACACAGAACTAAATAGCTTCAAGTTTCTTTTTGTATTTCCTTACAGAACTTTAGATTGTATTAAAGATAACAAGAGGTACGGATAACGGAGCGTTAAAAAAGTAATCAAATGGTAAAGATGTAAGATATGCTCAGTAGAGAATATTTCTAAATTACTATGGTCAGTTTCAAATGGATATCATCGACAATTAATCCATTACATCTCGAAGACTTCGGTCACATATAATTTAATACAGATTAGATAACTAACTTAATACGTTTAGCCTGATCACCATTAAGTCTTTATCAAATTGATTTTAGTTCGTCTAGAATCATAGTCACTAAAGAGAAGAATCTATCATGGTTAACTCAATAGTTCTGTGTTACCAATCTTTCAACTTTACTAAATATTTCATTACTCAATAGAATGGTTTTATCAGAAACAAGTGATTATTTGAAAGTTTGATTGCTTAAAAATGTCTGTGACCTTTATTTGTTTTCCACCTTCAACAGTAGTGTTTTTTTAAGTTAGCAGACAGTAGTGTTATTTTCTTGATATTCTTATGGAGCTACAAATAACATGTTCAGTTTTGTTTTAAAAACGTTTTATGATGCTTAAATTTCATAAAATATCTAGCAAAACAGAAGACGTGTACTAAATACAACTCTCTTTATGGAGGACATCTGTGTGTCTATTCTAGTACTTCGTATGCAAATTAGCCGGATAACCATTATCACGACGATTCCCATCTGTGTATGATCTTCAGAAGGTGAAACAAAATAGTGAATATAATTTATTTCAGACATAAATACGTAATAATACATATATGAAGGTTACCAATATGGGATATTGATAATCTGTTAAAGTTTAAAGTAACACTTAATCTGCCAAACGAGCTCATTTCAATGTTTAGTTAATTTAAACATGTACAACCGGATAATATTACTATGTCATTGTTATCTAATGTTAACAGACACTTTTTTCATAACTGAAATGTGTTTTTTTTACAACAACTAAGCAAAACTGTAACGTACTTGGTTTCAGGTAACTCCTGCTCGTTCTCGTGCACTTAATCAACCTTGTGTTTTATTGGATTTCTATGATGCACATGATGTTTGGCACTTTTTATCTTCAATATCTATGTTCTTCTCATTTATGGTAAATTCTTTAGACCAATATCCGATGTTTTTCGTACTCTTTAGTCTTTTTCCTTTAAGTATTTTCTCACTAACTTAGTTTTTATACTAAATAAATATTTATTTAGTATAATGAGTCAAATCAATTTAGTACATAGTTTGATATTTAGCAAAAATATATTGTACTAATTTTCTAGGCATTATTTGTTTCAACATTGAAAAAAGGTAGTAAAATAATACAAATGAAAGCTTAAAATTAATTGTTGTTACGGAATAAGATTACAGGTATGTATACCTTGCTGATGACTGCCAAATAGCACGAAACCTAGGTTAAGCAGGGTATCATATAAACTACCTTCAACCACCTTAGAGAGCCTGATATTGTTATGTTGTGATCCTAGTTTCCATATCATATTGAGATGACAAGATGAAGATGATGTAGTAGCAATCGGAATTAAAAAGACATAAGCATTAATAATATGGTTTTATAAAACTGAGTGTAAAAGGAGGTATATATGAAGGAATACTGGAATTAAATATCGAAAGGAAGAAAACGAGTTAATACATCCTCAATATTGTGAACGATTGTGAGCCATATCACCCAATTGTCCAACGATTGATACCAGTTATCACTCGAACCTCAAGCATATAGTCTGCATCTACCAACATGGTTCAGAACAACTGTCAATAAAATCATGGACTGGACTACATTTTAGTTTGACTTCCCTTAGATTTCTTCTAGTCTACTCATACTGCAGATAATATCGCATGTCTAAATAGACGGTTAAGCAGACCTAGCACATACCAAACACCTCCGGATTAAACACGTTTCCTGTTTTCCATAAACTACGTTTCATAGTCATGTAATTGTACACAGTAGACTGCTACACGGTGTAGTCTACCTTTGTTTGTTAGATGGACATCTCACCTATACCGCATGTGATGTAAGTTGGGTAAAGCTAACTGAAAATTATGAATTGGTGCTGAGATTTCGTCAGACACCACCTCACTCGGAGTGCTAAGCCTTCCAAAACAAGTGAAGTGATAAACCTGCTTCACTTTTTATCATTAGTTTAGACATTGACACAGACCTGTCCTAAAGCAACGTGTTACACTCAGATTGAAAAAAATCGGATCTCAAAGATTCCAGTATTATTGCTCGAAGCGTGTAGTGTGATCGCTAAGCGAACCCACCAATGATAACATGAAACGCCAACCATCACATTAATTTTCCTTGACCTTGTATGACTATGCTTTGCGTATTCACTGAACATCATTTTGTTTATTATAAACAATATTAAGTTCGTTGACTCATTTTTGTTATGCTATAGTTACGACGGACTACAGTGCAAAGTAGTGCATGGAGGACAGCTGACGGATGCATTCCAAGTAAGGACCGGAGTCAGACAAGGCTGTTTACTCTCTCCCTTCCTTTTTCTCCTGGTGGTCGACTGGATTATGAAGACCTCAACATCTGAAGGAAAACATGGAATACAATGGACAGCTCAGAATCAATTAGACGATTTGGACTTCGCAGATGACCTAGCCCTCCTATCACGTACACACGAACAGATGCAGATGAAGACAGCCAGTGTAGCAGCAGTCTCTGCATCAGTAGGCCTCAGCATACACAAAGGGAAAACTAAGGTCCTCAAATTCAAAGCGGAGAACAGCAATCCAATCACTCTTGATGGCGAAACTCTGGAAGATGTAGAATCCTTCACATATCTGGGAAGCATCATCGATGAACAAGGAGGCTCAGATGCAGACGTAAAGGCGAGGATCGGTAAAGCAAGGGTCGCATTCCTACAATTGAAGAACATATGGAACTCAAAACAACTTTCAACCAATATCAAAGTGAGAATCTTCAATACGAACGTCAAGGCAGTTCTACTGTATGGAGCTGAAACTTGGAGAACTACAACAACCACAATCAAGAAAGTACAAGTATTTATAAATAGCTGCCTTCGCAAGATACTCAACATCCATTGGCCGGATACCATCAGCAACAGCCTTCTGTGGGAGAGAACAAAGCAACTTCCAGCTGAAGAGGAAATTAGGAAAAGACGATGGAAATGGATAGGACATACATTACGCAAATCGTCAAACTGCATCACGAGGCAAGCCCTAACTTGGAATCCTGAGGGGAAGCGAAAAAGAGGAAGGCCAAAGAACACATTGCGTCGGATAATAGAAGCAGATATGAAAACGATGAATTACAACTGGACGGAGCTGGAAAGGATTGTTCAGGACAGGGTTGGATGGAGAACGCTGGTGAGCGGCCTATGCTCCTTCACGAGGAGTAACAGGCGTAAGTGAGTAAGTATAGTTACTGTTCAAAATAGATAGTTATTCAAGCCTAATAGCTTACTTGTTCTGACTTTGGCTAAGCTAAGACTCTGCTCGCCAGTCTAGGAAATGTTTTAGAATTACATCTGTAAGACAAATTAAATCCTACAGCGCGATCAGATGACTTTTCTCGATAAAAACATAATACTGCTGCTCTGCTCAATATATTTAATCACTAAAACTGTCTTGCTGTTTTTTCTCGTAATTTTAGTTAATAATGTACATGGACGACGATCTCTCAAAACGTCCAAGAAATCAGATTTTTGTTTTTTGATCACTAACTACTACAACTATGAAGTTATTGTTCATAGATATGATTATTCAATGAAAATATTCCACATCTGTAAACGCTATATAATTATCCATGATCAGACAATTTTTATTGTAATTAACTACTTTATCATTATCATTTGTGAATTTTTAGTGATTTTCTTCCCATTAATTTTGTTTGTCCATCTTTTGTGTTTTGAGTATGTTTCCATTTTTGTTTGATTCAAACTTATTGTATAGGATGTATTGAAGTGGATAAAAGAATCTATATATAAACATAGATTTTTGCAGAAACATAGTTCATTAATCAATAATTACGTAATTATTCAGACAAAGAGCGGTCAGCACCATTCAGTTTTAGGATCTATGTTGATTGTGATTGAATCACTGTTTCCAGTCAATCAATATGATAAAGTCTCTGGTCTAGACTTCGTAATGTTGAACGCTTATCAGCAAGGCGTATGTGTGCTTTCAAAGAGCTGATATTTACTTGGTGATCCCAATATTCAATTAATCCCCTACAAATTGTATTGAGAGTGCACTGATTGGTTACTCGTTGTTCAGTTAAAATCATAATGAAGTAATCAAAAATTCCCCGTTTTTAACATTTAAAAGTGTAGAATTATTAATCTGGAAAAAAACTCTCACTTTAATAATGGTAATAGTCGAAATGATAACCAGTTCAATGTAATAATTCAAAAGTAGTTAATATTACAAACCGCCCTTCCCTAGGCAATCATTAAACCTTGGGAATAATACTGACAACAACGAAACAACTGTACAGTTGCTTTACTTAGGTCATAGCTGTGGGCTTTTTGACTTGTAATTATTCCGAGATGTTTACGGAGAAAAATCATCAAGACTTTTTAAGGTTCTCAAAAGGTTGAGAAACTGTATTCTTGCATGATTATATTATTATCTAAATAAATTCATATTTTATAATTAAATTTGTATGTTTATTTAGTGTCAGTAACAGCTAACGGATTTGTAGTTATTTAAGCTTTTAGACACTAAAATGAGATGTTTAAAAGTTCCCTTGTTTATCAAAACTAAAGATGGGATGATCTTCCGAGTTATGCAAGATCAAATAAGTGAAAATGACTTCATACCAATATTAAACATAGATAATTAGATGGAAATGACATGAGAACCCATATCAGTGATATATTTCTTCATAATAATATAGAACGCGGGTTGCAGTGGGATCCAAAACGTGTATTTCATTTTACTTGTGATTGGTCAGCTAGATAAATCTGCACCTCAGAGTTGATGCTAACTTTAGAACACGGTCCCAGAACTGTTGCTTAAGATGCCCAAGCGTTGGCGTCTGAAGTGAACAGTACTGGGACCATGTCCAGTAGGCAACATGAACTCTGAGGTGCAGATATATCTAGCTAACCAGTCACAAATAAGATTGCTATATTCGAGCGAAGATTAAATCACGAGTAACTTCTGAGACATATTAATGGACTAATATTATGTATCGGACGAAATCTCAGCACGGATTCGAAAAGCTCGTTTGGCTTTTGCCAACTTCACCTTTGGCGGAGGCGAGATATCCGTCTATCAATAAAAGGACGAGTATACTGCGCGGCAGTCCGTTCTGTTTTAATTTACGGCAGCGAAACATGGCCATTAAGAGTAGAAAACACTCGTAAGCTACTAGTATTTGACCACAGATGCCTTAGAAATATTGCTGGCGTCTGCTGGGATCACCGGGTAAGTAATAGTGAGGTTAGACGCAGGGTATTAGGGAATGATGGTAAATCAGTTGATGAGGTTATGAATCTTCATCAACTGAGATGGTTGGGCCACGTATTACGTATGCCTGAACACCGATTGCCACGACGTGCAATGCTAACCGGTGTAGGGAATGGTTGGAAGAACGTTAGGGGCGGCCAAACCAAAACGTGGCATCAGTGCTTGAAGTCACTAACTTCTAGTCTGAGCCATGTTGATAGATGCAGACTACTTGGTTGGGGTCCGCGTGACTATCGTAACCGATGGTTGAAGACTCTTGGTGACATGGCTCAGAATCGATCACAATGGCGTCGGTGTATACACTCCCTGTCTTCCCTTAAACTAAGAGATTAAAATCATTTCATATCTTTCTTTCTTCTTGTACTATATCTCTATATGCAATCTTTCTCTTACATGCTATGAATCCGGTGTTCATCTTGTTGTGCTGATGCGGTATGGCAACCTGGACCGATGCACATATGTGCCTGGTCCTACGTTGTAGCTGACTGATAATTTATTATCGTACGATTTACTGTTCTTAAGCTATGTTCAGTTTATTAACTTCTGCCTCACACATTCACAGCCACTTTTTGGCTTTGTTGTGTACAAATATTATTTCCTATTTTATGGTGCGTTGCGGTTTGTTTGTTTGATATATAAACTCAGTATGTCTGAAATAAATGTTTGGATTCGCATAGTGGAATTTGGTATTGGTGTTCTGAACTCAAGTGGACGGATTAGGCGGACATAGGACCAATAAGGACGCTAGGCTGCTCATACCGGTCGAAGGTCATTGGTTTGGCACAGCGCTAAGATTGTATAAGTCGTACTTTGATTGGTGGGGAAACCACGTGATAAACAGCCGGACATATAGTCACAACAAACACGAAATACGCGTCCTGCGTCCCACCGCTACTCGCATTCCATATCAATGTGTTGTGATAGCTATATGGAGGTGATCCGCTCAGTATGCGAACCAAAGCTGATAGAATTTCAGTCAAATATTTGCTTAAGTTATGAAGATTTGCATAAAAGGCTTCAGTTACCTATAGTTCTAGTGCTGGACTCCTCAATGGTAAATACCTCTGACCTCATCAGCGATTGAACCTAAAACATTTAGTTGTCACAACAAACACTTAGCCATTAGAACCAAAGGATCAGCGTTCAATGGTACAAAGTTAATCGATTCGTGATATAGCATGACGACCCTCTAATTCCACCAGTGACAACTACTTCACTTCAAACATGTTTGAATTACATCCGCCACGGCTTCTCACTGGAAATTCAGGGACATCTTCAAGTACATTGGAAGATCTAATTATTGTGGTTTAGTAGAAATCGGTTCAATTTGAAGGTTGTATTCGTCACAAAAGGGTCCCTAGTTTTCGATGGTAACCCAACGACGACTAATCTCTGATAAATACAACTAAAAATCAATCTCCACAAAACGCCTTTAATTAATGGGATAATTCACTTCATATTTATATAGAACTAAGTTAAATTATGAGTGACTCGAAAGGAACAAGCATAACCTAACCTGTGGTAAATTATATCCCTTCTAACACGAATTGTTGGAGCACCCAATTCGAAAAGTTGTTTGTTCAGCAACTGCCTTAATATATTTCAAAAAAGCAGCTGTCAGAAAAATCAAAGAAATGTATAGTTTAATCCGCAAAATACGGATCACGCCACACTAATACAATAAAGACCAATATGGAATCAAGATACACGCAAATATTTACGATTACATGTCGTAAAATAACGCTCATTTTTTATTTTGACACGTATTAACTAGAACAGCACGATTAGAATAACCTTTGTACAATAAGCTTGATCGTGTTTAATATTGATTGCATACAGCTTATATAAATGTATCTTTATCTGAACTTATCAGCTCATATGTAAGGTTAAAAAGCAATACATTAACGGGAAATATGGGTAAATGAATACTGGTATTTTCAGTATACCGAAAACGTTCTTATCGTGACGTGTCATACGATGAATATTTAGCAACTCCAGTTGGCTTTTCAGAACGTTAGCTTGCTTGTCAGATTCCGTGCTAACTTAATAAACAAATCAAGTGGTGGAGTAGTGAAACTACATCAGCTGAGATGGCTGAGACACGTGTTGCGTATGCCCAGTCACCGACTGCCTCGGCTTGCGATGTTTCATGGTTTAGGAGTAGGATGGAAGAAAACTAGGGGCAGTCAGATTGTAGTGACTCACGTTTATCACGAGAACACGACTGGTTTAATAAAAACAATTATTATTATAACCAACTGTACCAGTGTTTGTTTTAACGTGCTTTTGTTTGACTGTGCTAATGACAGCTATTTTGTGCTTCCATTCTTTCGCTTACACTTCGATTGTAACCTCGCGCGAATTCGGTTACCTTCTGTAACCAAGGTTGTATCCTGGCACGATCTCGGTATCCTTTCGATGCCACGAGATCGCCAGCAAATAAACCTCGACTTGGTCCATTAATTGCTTTCTGATATTCGGCTTCTCGGGGATTTTATGGAGTCATTTGGAACGAGCTTCTTACGCGGTGTTCATAGTTAATCTCAACTCGACGCCACCCTACAAGATCAAAAATGGAACAAATCCATGTAGTCACTGACAAGTGGACTGAGCTATGTTGATAGATGTAGACTACCTGGTTGGGATCTACGAAACGATAGCAACCGATGGTTAGAGACCTGTAGTGACTCACATGTATCACGAGAACACGACTGGTTTAATAAAAACAATTATTATTATGACCAACTGTACCAGTGTTTGTTTTAATGTGCTTTTGTTTGACTGTGCTAATGACAGCTAATTTGTGCTTCCATTCTTATTCACACACTTTGATTGTGACTTCGCGCGGATTCGGTTACGTTCTGTAACCAAGCTTGTATCCTGACACGATCTCGGTATCATTTCGATACCACGAGAACGCCAGCAAATATATCTTGACTTGGTCCATTAACTGCCTTCTGATATTTGGCTTCTCGGGGATTTCATGGATTTATTTGGTTACGTTCAACCTTCGCCTTATGATTTACCTGGCACGTTTTTCTTGGTAGCGGTGTTCATAGTCAATCTCGACTCGACACCACGCTGCAGACCTTAAATGACATGGCTCAAAATCGTTTGCAATGGCGCAAGTGCATCTACTCTCTGTGTTCTCCCAAATTCTAATCTTCTGAATTCTTTATTTCACTTTTTTCCTCTTTCCAAATTTATTTCACTGGATTATACTCCTTGCATAACATCTTCAAACCCTAATCTTTCTGATCACTGCTTATACTTTTACTGCCTCTACCACTATGGGATTTGAATCAGCAATTACATCTCTGTGCTAATGTGGTATGGCAACTCGAACTTATGTACGTACGTACAAAGTTCTACGTTGTTGATGACTGAGTGAAACAGAATTATTGAACATTTGGTCGTCATAAAATTCCGCTCACATACTAGCTCGATACGTCTGCATGGTTCTATCTGGAAACATAAACCAAACCTTCACGTTTCACACACAATAAGGAGCC